CGTCAGTTCCTCACGTTTACTTTCGCGCATTAATATACCGACGGCTGAATTAAGCACGTCTACGGTTTATCTCCTTCTTGCAATGCGTTTAGACGCCTTCACACGTGTCCACCATGCCCGAGGGTGGAATAGAACGAAAAGCTCATTTACCAAGGAGTTTTATCCCCTTCCCGCCGCGTGTCAACTCTCAAATCCACGGGAGCGAGTCGACGATCCCGGCGGAGTGTATTGTCCGCGCGATAGAAACGTAGCGAACACTTGCGCGGTTTCTCGCGAAGATTCGACTTTCAAATGTGGAAAATCGAATTGATTCGAATCCTTCGGCGAAAGGATCCCTCACTCGCCATACATTGTCCACGTAGGAATAAATATCGCCAAATTCCAAGCCGCATTTCGAGTTTTCCACAGCGGAAAGTTTTTGGGGGGAGCGGTACAGAAAATATCCGAATTCAAAAGCCGTGAAAATTCAGAAGCAAGAAAAAACTTTACTTCGAAAAGAAAAACGGAGGGAGGCGACGCAATACTCTCAAGAGAGTAGCCATGCAGCTCGATTGCGGCGAGTAGAGGCGAAATTAGGTCGTTCAGAATGTGTAATGAGACGCAGAAGAGTGAATACATTCGCGCCGATTGAAAGCTTTTAACGTAATTTCCAATTCTTAGACGCTGTAAAAAAGTATAATTAACTCTATCGAACTTTGCGTAACCAATTTATTTTCGTTGCGTACGTTTCTTTCAACTCTTGCTGCAATCTTGTTTTAACACCATTTCTTTCTCGCCTGTTAAAATTTCCGCATTTATCTCGACTTTAACTTATGTATCGATTACCGATATGTCCAACGATATTTCACAGCATTAATTGCAGTGGTCAAAGACTGTAGAAACAAATACACGATGGGAACATCGATATAACTAGAAAGCAAACTCGATGATTCCCAGGTGGCACAAAACCGTCACACGTGCTCCTCGCGCAATATTCCGTACAAAATGCGCAAAAAGAACAAAGACGCGACCTTATTCGCGTCGCTCGGGGGTTGCCGTTTGCATTAAACTGCATCCGGTGCATTTGTGAAAATGCTGGAACGCCTACGAAGCGTTTCCCTAGATTTTTCTTTGCTACTCTCTTGCTAACAATAAGTAACACTGCTATGTTATTTCAAGAACAAGAATAATCCTAACACTTGTTACACGTTCGTGATTCTCTTTGCTATTTGAGTTGCGAAAAACAGCTATCTAGGATAATCGCGCGCTTATCTTATGACAGAATAACGCGATATAAATAAGAAAAAAGATAGAATCACAAAATAGGTAATACAGGAAACGAGAGCATCGATTTCACATTAAAGTCCAAGTATCTGTAGAAACTTTACTAAATATCTACTTTCTTATTTGCATTTACGACATTTTTACCAAATTTGATTGTGGAGCAGTGATAACAGTTGCATAAAATCTAGTAAAAATTATTGCAAAAAAATTTTTTTAATTTTTCATGTTTTTTTAAATAAAATTTGTAACTTATTTGTACAGAACACATACTCCCAAAAATTACGAAATTGAATTAATAGACAATTTAAGAAAGAAATTAATCAAAAATTTGTCGAAGAGATTAGGATATTTTGTAAATTATTATAGAAATATGGACACAAGCGAACAAAGGTGCGATTAAAGTTTTCAAAGGATTACGAATCTAGCGAGATTAAAACGTAATACGTGCTTTTAGAAATTAAGATATGTACTGTGGAAGTTAATTTATGAAAAGCTGTCCGCCAACAAAGACACGAATGAAATACAAGGCAAAAACGCATTTCTTTTTTTCTTCAAAGTATTTCAATATTAAAGCAACGACTGGGAGAGAGATAAAAAAGTTGGCCCGTCTTTTTATACCGGTAAAAGCACAATTGCATTTGCATCTTTCTATTTTTACGCGTTATCCGTGTCATAATGATACGACGTGAACTAAGACACGTTTCACAACTTGCTAGTATTAATATTTTGCATGTATGCTTTTTTTATTGGAAAACAAGCTTATTTGACTTGCATTTCACAATATGTATGTACTGAGCTGTGATATATGTGTTTTTAAGTGACAACAATTTTAAATAAAAGATAAATTTCAGAAAGAAAATGAAATTATGAATAACATATTAAACATTGCAATGTAAATATATATATACATATATAAATTAATTAGGTATAAAAAAACTATTGAAAGTTTAGCAACAATGCTCTATTTTCGTAATTTATAGATTTATCTTCCAAAGAATATTGTATATATTTAAGTTCAATCTTACTTAAGTGAATGCAAGCGAATCGTATTTCAGTTCACTCAATTTCTATTAATTGATTTATTAGAGAAATATGCATTATACATATAACATTCATTCAAAAAAGTTGTTTATCTTGATTTGTACTTTGTTTTTCAAATTGTTGCTACAAAGTTTTGTTCTAGTTTTTACAAGATACAACAACATCACGCGGTAAATCTATTCCCAGACACACACGGACGGAACAATGCAAAAGTCTCGCCGCTTTCTGCATTTGCGGGCTCTGCGCATCGCGAGAAAATCACTTTCCCGGCAACCAACCACTGTGCATAAATTCCGAAAGCGCAAGAATCCGGTTCAACCGCGGAAGTTCCGTCTCGCACCCGCCAGACAGAAGCGTTTCGTCTGCGTTCTATTTTTTTCAGTTCCATCATCTAAATCGTGACAATGCACATTACTCGCTTTCATTTATCTCAAAAGAAACATATAATCCCGACAATCTGACACCTTTTCCTTTGACAAAACTTTTACTCTTTCCCGTAATCTCGAAATGATTACAAAGGTGAGACTGAAAAGCAGTGTTTTTTGACACTCGTATTTTCAATGTTTGTTAACGTTTGTTAAAATTGGTTAATAAACATTAGTCAATATAATAATAGAGTTTTAGATAGTTCTAGACATTTATAAATTATTACATATATTTATCAATAAATAACATATCTTAAAACTCTAGATGCACAATTTTCTCTTCTTGAAAGAAAAGATTTTTATCGCTCGATATATTCATCTTTTAAAATAATATATTAAATTTTGGAACGTTAATATTTTCGTTGTATCTTAAATAAACTTAGAATTTACATTAGGTATTTTGTTTTTTGTCCAGACTATGTACAGATATAGATAAACATAAAATGTATAAAGTAATAAACACTAGAACAAATTTAGACTTTGTGATTTATTCACATATATTTTATCAAATTAATAAGACTCATTTTAAAATTCTATTTTTTACTTTCGTTCTCTATTGCTCGCTTGTACTCGTTCTTTAATTTTAATTTTAGAATTTTTCCAGATACACTTTTTGGTATTTCGTTAACGAATGTAACTCCACCTAAAAATAAGAGAAACTTTTATATAATTCTTGTGCCTTTTAATTACTTGGTTTATCTTTATCACTCCAAATTCTCAGATCTAATTCAAACGAACGTGACAATTAAATCTTTGACATTCGCGATGATTCTTCGGATAAAATAACAGTTCTAAAAATCGCAACACTTTATTAGTTCGATAATTGAATGGCGTGAGATAATTAGGAATTCCGTGATAGTATAATAATTGTTGGGAATCGAGTTATACCTGTAAGTTCCTTGTAGTCGGAGACCTTTTCTTTCACAAAGTTCTTAATATCATCTTCGGTAGGTTTCTTATTCTTACTTGCTACCACAAATGCTTTCGGCACCTCGCCATATCTCGCGTGCGGAATACCGATTACCGCCGCCTCTTCTACGTCCGGATGTGACCGCAGAATTGCTTCCAATTCCGCTGGTGGTACCTTCGACCAGGCAAAAATAATGTTTTAAATTGGATAAAGGAGGCAAGCACTTTATTTCGCTACTGAGAAGTAAGATACCCTTAAACCGTAAAACTTTCAACTTCAAACTTAAACATTACAACTGTCAACTATTATTAATCTTTCTGAGCACAAATAATAATAAAATTCAATAATATAATGAGGCCAAAAATACTTCTTGTTATGATTGTCGATAATTCAAAGAAAAAAATGAAAGAATTCTAATATCTCCAAAAATCCTCTGTTCGTTGATGCAATTATTAGAAGACTAATGTTTAAATGTGACAGATTCTTTTTGTCGAAACAAATTCTTACTTGATATCCCTTGACTTTAATCAGTTCCTTCAGTCTGTCTGTAATATAAAAGTCTAAATCTTCATCAAAGTAAGCAATGTCGCCTGTTTTCAACCATCCTTCTTTCGTTACTGTTGCCTTCGTGGCAGCTTCGTCGTCCAAATACCCTTTCATGATGTGTGGTCCTCTTATCCATAATTCGCCGGTTTGACCAGAAGTGCTAACGTCCTGCTGAGTCGTTACATCCACCAAACGAGCTTCGCAATTCACTATGTTATGTCCAATGCTTGAAAATTTCTTTCCATTTTCAGCGAATGCCACGCCACATTCTGTCAGTCCGTAACCTTGAAACAATTATCGCAAAAGTTTAAAAAATTGCATTTTTCCTATCTGATATTTTAATATAAGAGATATGCTAAAATATTTACTAAATAAAACGCCTTATAATATTATAGGGATGTATAATCTATAGATATTAAATTAAAGTTTTTCATGTGATTGTATGCACAAGTGCGAAGTTTAAGGCAATAAAATACTCTATCCAAATTCATAAGCATTCATAAATGCCTCAAGTTGCAATGTAATGCAAAATTTTATATAAGCGCGCGCTCGTGCGTATGTAAATTTTATGATGCATCACAGATTCACAATTCGAAATATCAAATGAATCATGACAGTAATAATTTTGTAGAATAAAAAATGTTACACGTTTATATCTATATAAAAGCTATTCGACATAAACTATATAACAAAACTATATTTTAATACTGACATTTTTTCCGTACTAACACAATAAATTCGTTGAATTTTACGAATTTTATGCGAAATGCAATATCAATTCAAACAGAAGTAAAACTTAATACGACGCTCTCTGTTGACGAACTTTATTCCAGAAACGCAACCGAATCGTCAGATCTCGTTAAAAAATGAACAAATTAAGCACATTACCAACGCCATTACCTCGCTCACTTCCAACGCCCATAAATACAAAGCCCGTCCCCTTTTCCTTTTCATTTCCGCTTTTGTTAAAAAGAAAAATACATCCAAACCTTCAAAGCTCGCACCTGCCGAAACTCGACCCTTCAATCCGCGAGACTCGATAAATTCGCAAATAAATTGTGTCATTCATTTGCGAAATGTTCATTTAGAAATTCATTTCGAGAATGTTGCGTCAGTGGCTGGATTATGCGAATCTACCTACCTTGATTGAATCTCGAGACGCTAGAGTCAATATTGAATTTATTGTATAATCGATCGACGTCTGATTTAGCGAGAGACGCAGCGCCGCTCAGTATTAAACGAACATGTTCGAAATGTTGCTTCTTCACGAGGGGAAAATTTGATAAAAACAATATAATTGGTGGAATAAGATATAGTACATTCGCCTGAAAAAAATATCAGCGTGTTAGCATATTAAGCTTAGCATCACGGAATAAATTTTCTTTATACACATCAAATTTAAGAATTTCTGATTTCGTGTAACTGATAATTAAATTAACACATTCCGACCTTCCACACTAAATCGAAATTCTTAATTCATCTCTTCCCTCTTATCCAAAAATTGCAAGAGCAGACTTGTTCCTGCATAGCGAGAAATAATTCACCTTGTGCTTCTCCAATACGTCGAGGTATGTCTGCGGCACGAATTTTGGAATGGTGACTACTTTTGAGCCGAAAGTTAAGCCTGGATTTACCACAGTATTCATTCCGTAAATGTGGAAATATGGCAGTATTGCAGGTATTACATCTTGATGCTCACCTAGAAGGCACAAGTAACAAAATAAAATTTAAAAAATGGAAAAATAATTTGCAATAAATGTTAAATCATTATTAACAGCAAAAAAAATCATTTTGAATAAAATCTTTTAAAAATATAGTTTACTAATATATATTTTTAATTCAAATCTCGCAAAATTTACTAAGAATAGATAAGAAGAGGGGTAAATAATAGCTTATTAAATAACTATCAAAAATACTTGTGGTAGGCACGAATGCGTTGGTTGAAGTTTGAGCCATCATGATATTAGCCACCAGATTACGATGTGTTAGCATAACAGCCTTTGGTAATCCCGTCGTGCCACTTGAGAACGGTAAAACCGCCACATCGTCGCAAGTTATGCTCGGATTTATAAGTGGTAGCGACTTGCCTCGCGTTATGAGATCCTGAAAAATTTCACATTATGTATCTAAAAAATGATACATTGTAATTATCTTTATTTAATGATATTGTTCTCTTTTGTAACTTTTAAAATAATTAATTTACTCGTATTCTTTTAGAAACTAACATCAAAAGGTATCGAACCCTCTGGAATAGGACCAGTCTTATCGTCAATCACAATAACAGGCGTTTCAGGCGGAAGACAAGATCTTGTCGCATTAAGAACTGTCGATACAATTTCGGCCGCGGTGATAACTGCTTTCGCTTTAGTCATTAACAATTGTCTCGACATTTCGTCTAAAAATTTTTATCACATTTATATATAGTATAATACAATTCAGCCCAACTTTATCTCATCTGCTAAATACATCAGGCATAAAAATCTAGAAATATCAGTAATAACATCACAAAGTCACTCACCAGCCGTAAGATGCGGATTCATGGTAGTAACGATGAGTTCACCCGACAAGATGCCGAGGCAGCCTAAAACAGTGTCCGGATAATTTGGTGCCACCAATGCTACCATGTCGCCCTTTTTAAGACCCATATTCCGCAAACTTCTGCCAATATAACTTGTCGCATCCTTGGCTTGAGCGTAAGTGTATTTTTTGCCATTGACACCGCATTCCTGCGCAAAAAATGTCATAAAATTGATACCTCGTGTTTTTTATTTTTTACGCAATACGCTTGCCAATAATTCTATAGTGAGTTACGTTTTATATCATATTTTATATTTCGTCATATTTTTGCATTTGCAGATATTTTTTCAATTGCAAATTGCGTTTCCTAAACAACTCATGTATAAATCTATGAATTCACTTCATGAAGCGTTAATAAAAAACGATATATGTATATAAATAGATAATCTATTATAATTGTAATTGTAATTTACTAAATCATTGAAATTACCAAAGCAATGTGATCAGAATAGCTTTCGCTGTTGTGCCAAATAAATTCGTTTAATAAGGTTTCCGGATAAGATATATTGTCCATTAGAGGCAAAATAATATTCTCGCCATTCGATCCCTTGATGATTCTAGATTGCGTCAAAGTAGATGCAGGCCTCAATGTTGCATTTAGTGTCTTTATTCCAACACTTAGTATTCGGTTTAGTCTCTGGATATTATAAATCACGTGTAATGCCATATTCGAAGAATACTGATTTATCAGTAATTAGAATATTTCGTAATCTGCAAACATAGTAGATAATCAACACACGATAGAAATGAGTTTTGGCAGCTGTAAAATGAAGACAAATTACGTTAATTAATGACAATCATGTAGTAATAAAGATTATGATGTTATTCAATCTTGAGAAAATATCTCTAATTTAAAAAAAATTAAGGAGAGACATAATTCTTTAAGTTTCACAAGGTTTTAAATTGATTATTTTGATATAAGAATTTAATAATACAAGAATTTAAATAATTTAGTTACATTTTGATCAGAATTATAATTTGTTAAAGTGCTTTAAATATATATGTACACGAAAAAGAGAGAGAGAGAGAGAGAATATAAATGAGCCTGCGAATAATTTATTTTGCAAGAAATACTGAAAAAGTATCGGTGGAAAGAAAATGTAGTATGCGTCAAAACTTGTACTTTTTGTGCGAAAGATTCCAAGTGCAGAATCTCAGTATTTTGGTGCAAGAAAATTCGTGCAAGTGAAATACGCGATCGCCAATTAAAATGCTGTTGATTAATCGTTCGACACAGACCGCGAGGCGTACATGACGGTTTTCACTGGCCGACTGCAGAATTCTTCAACAAATCGCTTAACTTCAAGTGACAATGGAGACATTGGCTGATTTCCCACCAACAACTTTTTTTATTGTATCGGGAAGACGTATGTGAAAAAGTTTAATGAACGAAAAACAGCTGTTTATTCGTTCGAGATCGGTTTATTGCCATTATCTAACAACGATACGTAGTTCGAGAAGTATATGTTTTAAAGATGGTACCAGCATAATTTCGAACTTAATGCACTTTAAAACTTTAATTATTTAACTATATTTTGAATTGCAAATTTTCTTCCTCCTTTTTTCTTTCTCTACGCGCACATACATGTGCACACACTCTTTGTAGTGTTGTAGAATTAGGGTTAAAATAGTGATTAACGTTTTTATATTACTTTACGATTTTCTAAACCGGACTATAATCAAATAATTTAATTAAATTAACAATTACGTAATATTTACATTCTAAATGTAATTTTAAAAATTGTTATTATTAAAAATGATTGTACAAAGTGTTTAATTATCAAAAATCCATTTTACAGATTCGGATCTGAAAAGTATTCAAAAAAGTTTTCAGCAAACTAACCAGCAATAACATGACATCAATATTATAATTTCTCACTCAACAATGCAATGTAACATGTCTTGTACGTAATTATTATATTGTTGAATGAGAAATTATAACATTGTTGTTATGTTACTGTTGGTTAGTGTTTGCTGGATTGTCATAAATTTTTCATCTTCTTCCGAACATATTAAATCTGCAAAAACGTGAAATGTTCCATATTCTTGCCATCTAGCATTGCACTTGGAGCAACGGAAAGTGCATTTATGTTTAATATATAATTGATCGACAAATATAACGCAACCGACTGCTTGTATAAGAATATTACAAGACAATTAATGCCCATGCATTACAATAATTTACGACAAAAGAAAAATTTGCATGCATGTGGATTGATCTATTTGCTTTAACTAAATTTATCTATTGTGAATAATTTGTTTGTCATCTTTATCGCCGTGCAATGTTTTTAAATAACAAAATACTACATTCGTGTGAACTTATAAAATCTTATTTTATTTAACAGTACATAAATTTTAAGTATAAAATTAAAGTACAATAGTCTCTAAAAAATAATCCATTGTGTGTAATTTCATTTCAATAATAACAAGAATAAAAAATACATTATAAAGATTAGAAATATATTATATATTACATTGTATCAACATCCCAGACAGCACAAAACATTCTAAGAACATCCTGGATATCCTCAGGATGTCCTGAAGCAATTTTCAGGACATTGAAGTATCCCTAAAATATCCCTAGGACGTTTTGTGCTATGTGAGATATAACATCCTAAAATTATTATATAACAAATATTTATATATAACTGAAATGGTAATAATAATTATTAAATTAATGGTCAAATATAAATTTTTTTACATTTTACGTAATAAAAATAATTTATTACGCTCAATAGGCACAAGACAGTCCATCAAAAAAACATAATCTTTCTATTGCGATTTGAAGTTATGAAAAATAAAATCATTGGTTAATATAATAATAGAATTTTAGATAGTACTAGACATTTATAAATTATTACATGTATTTATCAATAAATAACATATCTTAAAACTTTATGCACAATTTTCTCTTCTTAAGAAAAGATTTTTATCGCTCGATATATCCATCTTTTAAAATAATATATTAAATTTTGGAACGTTGATATTTTTGTAGTATCTTTCTTAATATTTCTATTATATCTTAAATAGCCTTAGAGTTTACATTAAGTATTTGTTTTTGATAGACTGTGTACATGTATAAATATGTGTACATATATGGATATACATATAAAAAATTAACAATTTTATAATTTATAATTTCTAATTGCAATTTACAACTGAGTAGCATATTACATAAACATATAAAATAATATACACTTGAGCAAATTTACATTTTGATTTATTTATATGTATTTATATGTATATACATAAGTTTTATCAAATTATTAAGATTATTTATTTAAAAAAATTATTTTTTATCAAAAACCGTAAATGCTAAAGAAGTTACTTCAATATCAAGGTTTGGACGTCTTTAATTTTGATCTTAGAATTTTTCCAGACGCATTTTTTGGTATTTCGTTAACAAATGTGACTCCACCTGAAAGCAAAAAAAACTTATATACAATTCTCGTAACATTTAATTACTTGGTTCATCTTTATCTCTCTAAATTCTTAGATCCAATCGAACCAAATGTGAATTAATCTTTAATTGAATGTGAAAAATTCTTTAATCGCCGTTCGCGATGGCTTTACGGATAATAACAGATTTAAAGACCACAACACCTTATTAGTTCGATAATTAAGTAGCATGAGACAATTTGAAATTCCATGATAATATAATAATTACCGGAAATCAAGTTATACCTGTAAGTTCCTTGTAATCGGAGACCTTTTCTTTCACAAAGTTCTTAATATCATCTTCGGTGGGTTTCTTATTCTTACTTGCTACCACAAATGCTTTCGGTACCTCGCCATATCTCGCGTGCGGAATACCAATTACCGCCGCCTCTTCTACGTCCGGATGTGACCGCAACAACGCTTCCAGTTCCGCTGGTGGTACCTTCGACCAGGCGAAAATAATGTTTTAAATTGGATAAAGAAGGCAAGTACTTTATTTCGCTATTGAGAAGTAGAATAACCTTAAACCGTAAAACTTTCAACTTGAAACATAAACATTACAACTGTCAACTATTATTAATCTTTCTAAACATAAATAATAATAAAATTCAATAATATAACGAGGTCAAAAATACATCTTGTTATGAATGTCGATAATTTAAAGAAAAAAATAAAAGAATTCTAATGTCTCCAAAAATCCTCTGTTTGTTGATGCAATTATTAGAAGACTAATGTTTAAATGTGACAGATTCTTTTTGTCGGAACAAATTCTTACTTGATATCCCTTGACTTTAATCAATTCCTTCAGTCTGTCTGTAATATAAAAGTCAAAATCTTCATCGAAGTAAGCAATGTCGCCTGTTTTCAACCATCCTTCTTTCGTTACTGTTGCCTTCGTGGCAGCTTCGTCGTCCAAATACCCTTTCATGATGTGTGGTCCTCTTATCCATAATTCGCCGGTTTGACCAGAAGTGCTAACGTCCTGCTGAGTCGTTACATCCACCAAACGAGCTTGGCAATTCGCGATATTATGTCCAATGCTTGACAATTTCTTTCCTTCTTCAATGAATGCCACAGGTGAAGATTCTGTCAGTCCGTAACCTTGAAAAAATTATCCCAAAATTGTCGCAAAATAGGTTTTTTTTTAATTTTATATTTTAATATGTTTTATATGCTAAACCGACCCTTTGATCCGTAAGACTCGATAAATGTCCTACTCATTTGCGAATCGAGAATGTTGCGTTAACGGCTGGATTATGCGAACCTACATACCTTGACGACATTTTAAGACGTTAGGGTCAATATTGAATTTTTTATATATTGGTTCGATATCTGATTCAGAAAGAGGCGCAGCACCGCTCATTATCGTGTAGACATGTTCCAAATGTTGCTTCTTTACGAGAGGGGAATTTGACAAAAACAACATAATTGGTGGCACGAGGAATAGTGAAGTCGCCTGAAAAAAATATCAACGTGTTAGCATAACTTTACATTACAGAATATATTTCCTATATTATACGCATAAAAATAAAGAATTTATGTTTTGTATAGTTAATAATTAAATTAACGCGTTCCAACCCTGCATTCTAGTACTATAAATAAAAATTCTTAATTTTTTTTCCTTCTTGTCTACAAATTTAAAGAGTAAATTTATTCATGCATAGCAAGAGAAAATTCACCTTGTGATTCTCCAATATATCGAGGTATGTTTGTGGTACGAATTTTGGAATAGTGATTAGTTTCACGCCAAAAGCTAAGCGCGAATTTACCACACCATTCATTCCGTAAATGTGGAAATATGGTAATATGGCAGGTACTACATCTTGATACTCACCTAGAAGACACAAGTAACAAAATAAAATTTAAAAAATGGAAAAATAATATGCAATAAATGTTAAATTATTATTAACGGCGAAAAAAATTATTTTGCATAAAATCTTTTAAAAATATAACTTACTAATATATATTTTTAATTCAGATCTCGCAAAATTTACTAAGAATAGATAAGAAGAGGGGTAAATAATAGCTTATTAAATAACTATCAAAAATACTTGTGGTAGGCCGGAATATTTTGCTTGAAGCTTGAGCCATCATGATATTAGACACCAGATTGCGATGTGTCAGCATAACAGCCTTTGGTAATCCCGTCGTGCCACTTGAGAACGGTAAAACCGCCACATCGTCGCAAGTTATGCTAGGATTTATAAGTGGCAGCGACTTGCCTCGCGTTATGAGATCCTGAAAAATTTCACATTATGTATCTAAAAAATGATACATTGTAGTTATCTTTATTTAATGATATTGTTCTCTTTTGCAACTTTTAAAATGATTAATTTACTCGTATTCTTTTAGAAACTAACATCAAAAGGTATCGAACCCTCTGGAATAGGACCAGTCTTATCGTCAATCACAATAACAGGCGTTTCAGGCGGAAGACAAGATCTTGTCGCATTAAGAACTGTCGATACAATTTCGGCCGCGGTGATAACTGCTTTTGCTTTAGCTTTTAACAATTGTCTCGACATTTCGTCTAAAAATTTTTATCACATTTATGTATAGTATAATATAATTCAGTCCAACTCTATCTCATCTTGTAATCACCTCAGACAAATCGGTGTCTAGAATGAAATATCAGTAATAACATCATAAAGCGACTTACCAGCCGTATAAAGCGGATTCATGGTAGTAACGACGAGTTCGCCCGACAAGATGCCGAGGCAGCCTAAAACAGTGTCCGGATAATTTGGTGCCACCAATGCTACCACGTCGCCCTTTTTGAGACCAATATTCCGCAAACTTCTGCCAATATAACTTGTCGCATCCTTAGCTTGAGCGTAAGTGTACTTTTTGCCATTGATACCGCATTCCTGCACAAAAAATGTCACAAAATTGATACCGTGTATTTATAATTTTCCACGCAGGACGCTTGCCAATAGTTCTATAGCTGAGTGAATTACATTTTATATCATATTTTATATCTTGTCATATTTTTGCAGATATTTTTTTTTTTTTTTTTTTAGTTTCCTAATTGCCTCACACACAAATTGCATTTCCTAAATAACTCATCTATTAATTCAATTCAATAACGCATTAATCAAAAACGATATACCTAAATAGATAATCTATTATAAGTGTAATTGTAATTTACTGAATCATTGAAATTACCAAAGCAATATGATTAGAATAGCTTTCACTGTCGTGCCAAACAAATTCGTGTAATAATGTTTCCGGATAAGATATATCGTTGATTGGAGACATAATAATATTCTCGCCATTTGATCCCTTGATGATTCTGGATTGCGTCAAAGTAGATGCGGGCCTTAATGTTGCATTTAGTGCTCTTATTCCAACACCCAATATTCGGTTTATCCTCTGGATATTATAAAACGCGTGTATTGCCATACTTGAACAATGGTACTGATTTATCGGTAATTGGAATGGTTCGTTATCTGCAAACATAGGAGATAATTAACACACACAGATAGAAATGAGCGCTTTGGCAGCTGTAAAATGAAGACAAATTACGCTTTAATCAATGATAATCACATAGCAATGAGGATTATGATATTCAATTTTAAGAAAATGTCTTTATTTAAAAAAAAATAAACAGAACATAATTCTTTAAGTTTTACAAGGCTTTAAATTGAATATTTTGATATGTTCATACAGGAATTTAAATAATTTAATAACATTTTACATCAGATTTTATATCTCGAATTTTTGCTCTTGCAGACATTTTTTCTTGAGTTTTCCAATTGCCTCAAATTGCATTAACTAAATGACTCATCTATGAATCTACTCGATATCGAGTGGAAATATTAATACGGCCCCGATTAGAAACTGATCAGGTAAATCTCACTTAATGATCGGATCCTGATTAGTACACCCGATCGGGACCCGAGATGTTTGGTAACGCAATGCCTCTATCGGGAACCGATCGAGCTGCACTATTACAACCCTGCTTTTATTTAATCGGGATTCTTATCGGGTGATTATAAGGTATAGATTTATTAATTATTACGCCAGAAAATAAAGTATATAATATTATTTATACTATTTAATTCTTTATATATTTTCTTTATTATTGATACATAACATATAATACATTTATATTAATATTTCATAAATATAAAATAAAAACGCAACAAGGCTAAACAAAGTACGGATTTTATTCTATCGTCGTGTTGCGACGTTTTTGGTGCGCACCGTTCCAATCCTTCACATTATTGAATATTACCGAGTCCTGAATTTCTTTTTTTGATGGTAACACGTTATCTTTTTTAAAAGAATGCGATATAATATCGGTTCCAGGTAGAGGCATTGCGTTTGCAAACATCTAAGGCCCCTATCGGGTGTACTAATTAGGACCCGATCACTAAGTGAGGCTTACTTTATCAGTTCCTAATCGGGACCGCATTATTTTTCCACTCGGGAGTATTAAGACATTCCTGAGAGGATCCTTATCAAATCCTGACCAAAAGGATCTCGTGATAAGATATTGGCCATAATTCGGCACGATCGATTATAAATCTTGACCTTTATTATGTAAGAGCTTACAATAACAAGGAGCACAAAACGAAACTAAAACTAACCAACTTTTATAAGAAAGGAAAACGCAACACTACGGCGAACTAAGATCCATCAATGAGAACAGACAAAAAAAATTACTAGATTATATAAAGACACTGATGTTTGATTAGCTCGCATATTTGACTCTGACGCCTCGTTAACTAGTAATAAGGAAAAAGTTTATTCAGTCCCGTTCACGCCTAGGATAAATCCGAAGGAAATCTTATCAAGGTCTCATGATACGTCGGGTATATTTCTACTCGGGATGACGCGTTAATCAGAAACGATAGGTATATCTAAACAGATAATCTATTGTAATTTGTAATAAGGTGTAATTTGAAAAATCATTGGAATTACCAAAGCAGTGTAATCAGAATAGCTTTCGTTGCAATCAGAATTATAATTTGTTAAAGTGCTATAAATATATATGTGCACACACACACGCATGCACGCACACAGAGGGAGAGAAAGCATTTAATTGAGCCTGAATAATTTATTTTGTAAAAAGTATTGAGGTAAAATATCATAAAAAGCGAGAATATTTTTTTACTATTTCATTTATAAGTAAAAATGATATAATGTTTACACTCAAGTATCACTTGTGCCGTGCATGCTACTAATAACTTACACAAAAAATCTTGCATATTAACGCATCTGATTATTGCGCTCCTGATATAAATATTCTTTGTACGTTCAAATATTTTATCGTGATATATAATATTTCTTACATCGGTTTGCTGCTATCTCTGTCGGTTTACTATTGACCTTTGTCTCCGCATCAAATGTATGCATTTGTATATTAAAATTTATCATAACGAATGATTTCCTGTTATATAAAAGCGAAGCTAGCAATAAAAATTTTGTCATGTAATAAATAAAAGGAAAAATAAATACAAGGTGGATTATGTTGCAATAATTAAAATATTAATCTTTTACACGATTATATTGTTACCATATAATATTGCAAATAATAAAAATACGCTCCATACAAGAATAAAATTTTATGAAGAAATTGCTTTATATGGAATTTGGAAGCACAATATCGAAATTAAGGCGTAATACGCGTAACAAGATCATTTTGCCGCTATTTGTGTTATAGTAATTATTAATAGTCGTATTTTGCAATAACGAACGCGTTTTGCGAATTTATGGTTATTTTTTTTTATTCATAATAAACTTAATTTTCGTTGTTTTAAAATCAAATTAATACTTATGCCATGCAATACATATAGTAGCTATCGATGTCAGCTATCGACGTATCAAGCATTGCTGCGTAGATAGCTGCATGTTGACTCATATCGAGAATCGATTGTTGTCAACGATGCGCAATTAGATAATTTGTTAGTCGTTAAAAAATAATTTAACTGTTCTAAGACCAAAGATATTCTCTTATCGAAACGTGAAGCATACTCTACAACAATTATATAAATGTTGAACTAAAGATAAGTATTCGTTTCCATCTATTTCATTTCCTGAAGGTTAACTGAAGTGTTATCATTGATGCAAACAGTTCAGATCCTTAAAATTCAAATCATAACAAATATTAGTTTAAAAAAAGAAATGCTTTAGCGTGTTTAGAAAAATTATTTATTAGCAAAAACATAAAATATATTTTTAGATCATTATATTGTGTTTGTTTTCTGTTAATTTTTTTATTGTCAATTTTATTATACATTTTAGACGTTTCAAGCAATATATGTTTTATATTATCTAGTCATATCTAAGTCGCTGTTTATTAGATGAATTTGTTTGTATAAATAAAAATAAATGTTTATAAGCCATAATGTAAAATTTTCCCAACTTATTACATTTAAAAAAAGTTTTGCAATCAGAAATATAAGGAATCGTTTTTATTTTGTCACAAAGAAGAGAAAACATCATAAATAAGGACTTCAGTATCATGTCTGTTTTTGAAAAAAAATTGAGAACTGAGATTATTAATAAAATAAGTTTAAAAAACAAACATTGAAAGTGGAACAGCATGATTAGATTACGGGCAAATACTGTGAAATAAACGAGAAATTATTATTTTATAACAAATGTACATATACATACATACAAATATACATGCACTGGCACTAAAGGTGTCGCCGGTTAGGGAATCCCTAGTAGGGATATATATGAAAAACCCGAAAGCGTCATACATACGAAGCTTATCTTTGACGTATCTCTTGAAGCGGCGGGGCAGAATAAGCAGCGAGGGGAAATGTTATGAGGAACGTTTCGATTTTACATCTTTATGCGTAAATTGAACGATCAAGAAAGAAAGCATTACAAGAAGTAATACTATGTTAACGGTGTCGAATAACTGTCTCACTCATTCGACAGTCGAATGGAGAAGTGCGAGTGAGACAGCTATACGGACGGCAGACCGCGCGATATCTCTACAGGCGGCCGAGCCGTATTTACTGAACGTCGGCACTCATTTTGTTAATTATTAGATAATATAAAAAAGCGAAATTTAACAAACAACACAAATTTTATGAATATAACGAATTATTATTAATATATAAAATATTATTATTAATTAAAAAATATTAAAAAACTATTTTTGTAAACAAAACATTATAGATAGTAGTTTTATGTTGTTGATTATACGTTGCATGAAGTTGAATTGTTCTTTACACAAAGATAAAATATTGTTCTGATAAAACATACACTCTGTCACTTGTCTTCACAATTTATTAAAACTATAGACTTATATTATTTTCGAGTTTTTATATACTCGATTCAAGTCTGTAGGTAAAATATTCAAATATAAAAACATATCAGAATAAATCGAGATCGCGGAAATTCCGACCACGGAATATCGTAATCAAAATGTTATTACTGAAGCCAATATGATTTGTCAAGGTTCCACACGCCTTTGGACGCACATCCGCGCTCGCGTTCTGCTTATGTACTCGCTATGCACTTGATCTAAATATATCACACTTCTAACTCCGACTCGTCAACCGTATATCTACTTATTTAACACTAGCGCCAACTGATATGATTTTTATGATCTACGTCACTCTTATTTATATGGACAAAAATAAATTTATTTCCTCGTATTCTCTCGACCCAAGGTTTTAAATTTTGTAATAAATCTGTTATTTCAATCTGTTTTAACTCATTCACAAACGATGCACACGAGTCATTTTACGTTTCTCATTAGTATTAAAGATAAAGGAGATGCATAAGCCGTGCGGACAAGCATTTTGAATAAATCATAAATAAATCGTTACGGACGTAAACTTATAACTAGTTTTACCTGTTTACCTCTTTTTTTGTCTCCTTTCGTTGTTCGTAATCTCGTTGTAGATGACACATCCGAAATTTATTTCCACTGATATTAAAACGCTATTTTATTTACGGCAATGCGTAAATAAATACTGAAAAAATATTGGTGGAAAGAAAATGTAATATGCGTCGAAATTTGCACTTTTTACACGCGAAAGATTCCGAAGTATACAATCCCAGTATTGTGGAATAAGAGAATTTATGCGAGCGAAATGCACGGTCCTCAATTAAAATGCTGATTAATCGCTTGACTTCGAAGTGTATGTGACCATTTTCACTGGCAGACTACAGAATTCTTCAGCAACCGCTGAACTTCAAGCGACGATGGAGATACCGGTTGACTCCCCACCAGTCACGCCAGCAAGGCATATGTGAAGAAAGTAAACGAATGAAAAACAGCTATAAGAAGTTAAGAGCAACCTGATGTGCTACTATGTAAATGTAATATTATTAATTTATATGTTTCATACATTAAAATTTGAATAACATCAACAATCTTCAGTCATATATTATGGATTTTTATTCGATTTTTTAATTTGTTTGTTTTTTTGCAAGATACATTATTTTATTGAAATATGCTTTATGATATTAGTTTCAATACAACTTCCAATACAATCAATATAGCGTGATATAGGATGAGAGAATTATATCTGATCGCGTGGAAAAATATTACGTGATTTAATTTCAAGTTATTTAATTTACGTGAAAATCGGATAACTAAATGCAACTAATAAAAAATTCCATTTAGAATTTTAATTGTGAGAAAAATTTCTTTTTATCCATACACGTGAAATACAAAAAACTGATTATATATAAAAAAAATTGCTTATGTTAGAAGTCAATGCTAGATGATATATGTGAATATGTCACAACAAAAGTTTCGCTTATTAATGCGACTCTCTTTAGTGTAATCTTACTCTATCTGAATTTAACATTTTTCTTGTTGTACATATTTTAAATATTAATGCTTAACAATTTTTATTTTAAATAAAATAATCATGACGGCATATTTTATTGATTTATCGTAATCGTTTTTACTGTCTTTTAATTGTGTGTTGTATCTTGAATTTATTGTTTAGACTGAATAATTTGGTTGTTTATTCTTATGTTAAGAGTTCCATTAATTTATATCGAAATTTTGTAGTTGTACGTCAATTATAAAAATTATTCAATATGGATCACAAAAAATTTTATGTTGCTTTTTACTTAACTGTTATTAATTTAGCGATAAATTTTAATGTAAACGTTTACATAATGTTACTTTTAAATGTTCTGACTATCCAGACTACATTTTTTTAAGTAAATTCTTTTTTTTTCTCTATATAAACTAATCCAACAATAAGATAAATTAAATTAAATTAAGATAGATAAAAAAATGCGTAATGTGTAACAAGTTATTAAAATAAATAACGCTACATGACATTTAATCTTAACATTTTCGCGACCGTTATATATTTGGCTCTGCTCAACGCTTGGAGCCACTCTATTATTTTGAATTGATGTAAAATCTGACATTTCTCATATTACACAACCTAATACAATGATGCAGAAAACAGTAAACATAAAATTATGTGACCGGCTCCTGACTTGTATCAAAATATAAACATAAAAATACATGGGCGGCCGCGAAAGTGTTAATTGTGTAAATTACATATTTACTACGCATAATAGAGTTTTCAAATATTTACCTGAGATTTTACGTATTTTGTAATTAAAAGTATGTTGCAGTTTTGATCTAAAAATAGTATGATATAGTGGATATTAATCAACTGTTACTTCGTCTGTTTGTTCGTCGAAAGAAACGATAAGATATTATCTGATACGTACTTCTGTAATTCTTTGTATTACAACAACGTCCGACGTTCGAGTGTGAACAATGTGTTCGGGACCGATTTTCTATCATCCAACGATGACTCTGTAGTTTGAAAAGTATGTGTGTTAAAGATATATTAGCATAATTACGAAATCAATGCACTTTGGAACTTTAATTATTAAATTATATTGAATTGCAAATTTTCCTTCCTCTTTTTTTTCTCTCTACGTGCACATATTTATGCACACACTCTTTATAGAGTGTTAAACAATAAGAATTGAAATAGTGATTTTTTTATATTACTTTATGATTTTCTAAACTGAACTGTAATTAAATAATTTGATTAAATTATATAATATAAGTATAATAAGTAATATAAAATATAAAAATTATTAAAATCATGAAAAATAATTGATAAGATATATAAAGTGTTCCATTATCAGAAATCCATTTAACAGATTCAGATCTGAAAAATAATCAAAAAAGTTGTCCTTTTTTTATCTTGTATATTAAATCTGCAAAAACGTGAAATATTCCATTCTCTTGCCATCTAGCGTTGCACGTGGAGCAACGAGAAGTGTATTTATGCATAATATAATTGATCGACAATATAACGCGACTGATTTCTTATATAAGAATATTATGAAACTATTAATACCCGTGCATTACAATAATTTATGACAAGATAACATTCGAACATGATCCATGTGTTTTCAAAGCAATTAATGCAAATGTCATTGCGCATAGCATTCTTTGTAAAGCCGCCAATTCCGCGATTCCTGCGCTTTAGTTAATTTAAGCTTGACAAAACGCAAATGCGTCGGCGCGTCTTCATCGACGCCGCCGACGCCGACGCCGATGACGCTTGCAGAGGCAGGATCGTCTCACGAGTGGTCATCCAACAATACATAGCAAAAAATTACAATGTAATATGAAAAATTATTTATAACAGTTTAAGTATACTTTTAGTAACCACAAAAGCATATTTATATTAAATTGCTTTATTTTAAATTATCATAAATTATATGTAATACAATAATAGTGATTTTAAAAGAATAGATGTTTGTGTTTTGTTATGTTAATGATACTATTTTTCTGTCTTACGTTTAAATAGTTTCCTATTTATTTAGATGAAAAGAAATATTACTTTTAAATTTAAATCCTTCCAAGCCAAGATTAAAATATCAACAAAAATACTTAAAAAATAGCAAAATATATATTGCAAAATCGAAATTAAGAAATTTGAATAAATATATTGCGATTATTCTTGTGAACACATTCCCATAAGAATAAATTATTATATATGACAGGAAAATGCAAAATACGTAACACATATAAATAAAAAATTTGCAAAACAATGTTCTTGAATATGCGAGAGCATGAATATTCAGAGGTGCAAGATTAAGCTTTACCTATTGAATTACCTATTTATTTAAGACGAAGACAAACCCGGGTGCTCTGTGACAGCCCTGTATATGCTTGAAACCTGCGCCCAAGGGCGACGGCCATGTCGACGTGGACCCTGCAGTATTCTCCCGTTGCAACCCACGTACACCCTCGGCTGGCGGCTACGCGCACGAAGAAACGACCGCCCTCCGAAAACGGACGAGACCGATCTCGAAGTACGTAATCGTAGCGCAATCGGAGCATTTGGGCTATGAATGAAGACCCAACCCTTTCACCTCGAGGTAATTAACATCCCTTGTTTCCCTAGCAGTGCTCGTGTCGCTTCGTCCGACGTGTTTCCCGGAGTATTTATCGAGCGTACTCGCAAGTTGCTCCAATCACGAAAAATAGTCATGAGTTTCGAAGATAACGGAATAACTCGTTTCGCACATTTGTGACGCCGTGATCGGAGGGTTAGTTAAAAAAACTGTTATGCGTGAGCGAGTAGTGACGAGTTCTTATCGATTTCATTACTTATGCATGTGTGCTCGAGAAAGAGTGCTCTTCGTACATATTGCGACGTGGTTTATAAGACTGGTGCATCCCCCCGTACGTCACTTTGACGTTTGCCATTTGTGGTCGATCGTAATGCAGACCCTGTTAATTAAAATGTCATGCTTGCGAGTGAAGGAGCTCTTTACAACGTACATTCGTTTAGGGATTTTCCCATGTAAATATAGAATGTGAAGTGCGCTCTTTCTCCACTTTCTTCCCCGACGATCGATGATTTTCAACCCTTTGGTAAGACGGCTTAATTTTTTCTAGGGATTTTTAAAAAAGAATTTTACGATACTGTATTATTGTTAGGTTTTAGCAGTGCTGCTTCTATCTGTGATTCCATGGCCAGGACCCAGCGTTTTTAAAATATCATGTCCCCGCGATCGAGCATCAGTAGTGAGGAGGATAGTTCACAAGGTGAGAAAAAATGTATTAACTTTTTTCTGTTAATTATTAAACCATCTAGTGAATTAATTATTTGAGAAGTGAATATATAAAATTCTTATTTTTGAAGAATTGGGTAACGATAATTTTGATTAACAATTTGCTAAAGCGCAACATTTAAAATTTAGAAATTAACGTTAGAAAATGACGCAGTGTTTTGAATCTCGCCAAAATTGCAGAGATGGATGCCAATACTGAAGAAATATCAGGTAGAATTACCATTGGAATGTCCGTTCCACGAAAGTCGAGATATATTTCGACCGCAGCAAAAAGCGAAGCATCAACACAGGCCGTCGCAATGGACATGTGGTCTCTGCGGCAAGTCTTTCTACGCCGAGAAACACTTAGACGCCCACTTCGATAACAGACACAAAAGCAACGTTAATATGGTAAATGTCAAAAAAAAATGCAACAAAGCGTTATTTGTAACACAAAAATTATTCCAAAAAAAAAACATAATATACATAATCGTATATAATTTTGTAAAAATTCTACTTTTTTCAACCGCGCAGCTTTCTCAATTTTTATTTTGGCGAATTGAATCTCTGATTATTGGCTAAGTGAGCGAAAAATTCTTTATCAGAAATATATGAGGATTCGATAGACGCAAGATCAGACAGATTTCTTTATATCAGGCAGAAGACGCGGTATGCCTGGCGGATTACTGCGACATTATGCGTTGCGATGTTCTGGGCAATCGCGTCTTCGAGAACTCGGTGGACGACGATGGCCAACTCAACACCGATATCCAGGTGTGGCGCGAAAATACCGAGCAGCAGCAACGGAAGCAGCAGCAGCAGCAGCAGCAGCAGCAGCAGCAGCAGCAGCAGCAGCAGCAACAGCAGCAGCAGCAACAACGCAGCACTTCCGTCATGCCGTGCGAATCGTGCGGCCTCGCTAGGATGTATCCTGGGGGCAAATCCTACGCGATCGCCGACGGCGGCGCGGTGACGAATCCGCAGCGTTACTGCCTCCACGACGACGGCGGCGGCGGCGGCGGCGACATGCACAATCACAGACTGGTGAGATCGTCGTATCACAACGAGATCGCTGGACCGGATAATAAAAGCAGCGCTTGCGACAGCGAGGAGGAGGAGGACGACGAAGAGGACGAGAACGAGGAAAACCTGGTGGAGGCAGCGTTGCCCGCCGTGGGCAAGAAGCAGAGGCGACGAGGGTTGCGCCTGAGAAAGCTCAAGTCCAACTGTAAGCCGGAGGAGTTGCAGAAGCTGAAGACCCAGTGTGAAGTGAGTTGCCGAAGTCAATGTCCGTTCGTAATACTTTCGAAATGCGCAGGACTATCTTATCATAAATGTAGTAGCGTTAATGAAAGTTGTGCGCTTTCTTTCGACGATCAATTCATTTTTGGATGATCTCTTGAGAGGCAAATAGTTCAGTCGGAATAACAGTCCCGATAACAAAAGTCGTTCGGAGATAGCATGCGATCTTCGAAGCGTCACGTTTTCATATTACAAGATAAACACGTGCAGTACTTATAAACATGTTTGCTTGCGAATACCAATATAACAGGCAATGATCGTATTTATGACGCGCTTGTCAACAGATACTCGTGCGCGATTGCATCGCCGGGCTGCTCGCCAATCTTTCCGTTCGGGATTTCCAAGAGATCGAAGGTACGCGTTCAATGACGCACACCGCGATCAATGTGTCAATGCGTTGACATTCTCTAATCGACCGTAATTCACATCGGCAGGGGAGCTGAATCGCGCGATCTGCTGGTATCTCAGCTGCGACAAATACTGGGAGGATACGAAGAGGCCGCAACGTCACACTCCTTGGTATCTGCTGACCATCTTTATGCTGCTCCTCTTCTCATCGATCGCATGTTACTACGTCATTTGGGTCTGCTTCAAGTATGCCGAATTAAAATTCCTCTTCCAATTCTTTTCATCCAAAGTTCACTCGTAGTAGGAAAATTATTCAGCACTTTCAGAGGAATGATGTAAACTTTTAATTAATGCACACTTGTGAAAACGCGAAAAACAATAAAAAAAAGTAGTTTATCGAATAATTAGACTATAAATAGGCAATATCGTGAGATTTATATAACGTATTGACCGCAAAGACTTTTTTGCAATCTTCTATATAATGTTATGTCATCCTACATATAATAGTTCTCGCCATATTTTTGCTTAATAAATGATCGAAAAATCGATTTTTAAATATTTTTTGGCTCTAAATAATTTCAATATTTTTTCTGTTTTTGTAAAATATTATTTCAACAAAATAAAAATATAATGTACAATATAATGTAACAATGTAAAATATAATTCCAACAAAAATTTCAAAGTTTACGTTCAAAGCTGTAAATGTTTTCTGAAGGTTAAACGAACAATTAAATAATAAACAATTAAACCGACGTAAAAAATGTTTTAAGCGTGTATTAACTCTTAAAAAAACATCTACTCATCTGTTGTGGTGAAACATTCCGATAACTTGAAGTGAAAACACGTTTTACACCTTCGTTGTTCTCATTACCATAATCGAAAAACTGGTTTATATTTTCCTTGTAGCACCGCGGACGAAGATGCATTGGACGGCACAGGAAGCGTGGATTACAACGGGAGCATGGATCGTTCGAGTACTTCCCCTTTGCACGATCCGAATATTCATAACGAGGGCAGATTGGAAAGACGGAAGGGCGACCACGGGGATGAAAACTTACCCCTGTCGAGCGAGGACATGCCCGATCACTACATCTACGTCTCGTATCCGCCCGAGCTGAAGCGGCGACTTCTGGAGAGGTAAATCGGACTCGTGCACGTAAAGTGTACTCGCGAAGCATTCGACGTTGCAATCGCATATAGTGATTCTCCTCCTTACAGCTGCTACAACAGGACCACTCGTCTGTGAACCGACGAGTTGAGTTGGGCGGAGAGAGTGATACACGTGATAACAAGATCTTATCCCGGGCCCTGCACAAAAGAAGGCACTCGAGGCTGAACTCCTCACTTTCATTTTTTTCTCGTTATCCTCGTGTTTTGTATACCGAATGTGAATAAATTGCATCGTGGACACAAAGTCACGTACCATTATTTTTGTACGGACTCCGTGCTGCACAATCATGCGGAATTCGAGAGACAAGATAGAGACACGTACTTAACGGGCGATTACAATCGCCTCGCGGTTGGACTTTCATCTCTGAGAATCTAATAGTTGAATCGGACTTTTATTCACCGTAATTCAAAGATTTCTTCTTGCTATCATATTTTTCATTTCAAGAAAGACGCTTATTAGTTCGAAACGATAAGGATAGAACTCACTATAAGTGTTTCATTTTTGTACTAAAATAGTATTTATTCGATGGAAGCTTTTTTTTATTATATTGTATATAAATATATAACTTTGAAGAGATATACATGTAAATATAACTTAAGTAGTTTGACAAATCAACAATACGTGCAAAGATGGAGTAGTGTTTTAATCGATATTAAAACATATTTAATCCAGATAACATAAAATGTAAGAAATAGGAGAAAAAGTCTCTGACTGATTTTTGACTAGAATGTAAAATGATTCGAAGAGATCAAGATTAAAACCAATAGGTCATTTTCATGGTCCCGTCAGAATCGCGTTGGGTGTCCATCACGCTGGATTGGCGAACTAAACGGCGAGCGTTCGCCAAGCTCGGCCGTTGTTGCTCCTCCAAAATAGACGGAGCAAGCGGTATCTCAGGTACTTCACGCATCTCGACTGTTTCTCGCGTCGACAAGTCCTCGTAAGAAGTCGCGATCGATGACAGTCTGGAGAATATAAATCTTAATCAAATAAAAATCTAGTCGGAAAGAAAAATATACAAAATGTTACGAAAGTTAAGAAACATCCAGATACGATTTTTAAACAATTAATTCCACTCTCTCCAAAAAAAAATGCTATATTTTGATTTTATTAATATTTTAAATCTTAATAAATAAAAAAATTTCGCGAACAATGAATCAAAATAACTTTTCGCTGTTCTACGAGCTCGGAGAGAGTTTCGCACTAATTTATTGCTACCAATTTGTTGCCAGTGCGTACTTTGTTGGAATACAACGGACGCAATCCGCGCAAGTCCAATCTTTGCCAAACAATTCTCCTTCCTCAACCGTCTGCGGCAGACGGTGATGCAATGTTTCCGGTAACCGCAGCCCCGACAGGCCACCAATTACCGAGATCGCGCCTAAGATGACCAAAGGCAGGACTAGACTCTCTCTTCCCTGAAAATCGTGTTTGCAAATACATACGTGTGTTTCGTTCGTCACTAAAATTCGCAATGAAAGACATGTGTATTTAAAATAATCACAAAAGTAATACACAAGCAGGTTTGAATTTTCTTAATTAATGTCTTAAAGATATTTCTTATTCTCTCATTGTTAAAATAGATTCAACTCACGAGGTATGTCACGAAGGGTATAATGATGAGTCCGAGGCCGCTGATATACGCGGAGAAGCCGATAGCAACCCCGCGCAATTGCGTGGGATAAAGTTCCCCGGCAAAAGGGTAGATAATTAGAAAAGACGCGGATATCGCGGACTTCGATATGAGAAATAGTATCAAGGTTTCCACGACAGCATCTTGAATTAAAAAAAAAAAAACAGAGCGTTACATTAATGGCAACAACTGAAAACGGTGGTATGAAAAATGTCTTCCAATATCGCAACTCCGTTCACGCGATGTTAATTAAATAACTTATTGCTCTCAGCAGTATTGGCACATTCAACAGCTGGTTATGTTGCCACTCTCGCTAATTAATCAAGTCATTAACTAATTGACCAGCAGTGCGTACCGGACGACAACAGCACCGTAGCAATGCACGATACTCCAGCTACGACCATGCACAGGCAAAGCGGCCATCGGCGACCCCATCGATCCATTACAACCCAACAAGCCATGTAACTGGGAATCTCGGCGAGCGAGGAAAACAAAAAACTCAGATGTTCCTCATTTCCCAGTGCCGGCCCATAGTAAGAAAGACCGACGTATACCATGTTGTTGGCGAACCTAATCGTGATAAAATAGAGTCTTTTATCCTCACATGAGACGCAAATATAAGATGTTATATCGCGTTATTTTATCTCGTTATCAAAGTGTTTATCTAGACGTCAGTCCGATTAAAAACAGATTATTGTGCTCGAGACATACTTTCGAGTGGAAGTACATAAAGATCAAAGTACATAACGTGGACTCGGTGACAAACAGAAAATTAGAAGTGCAAACTTACGACGTGCTAGCGACGTGTTACGTTAAATTATTTTTCTTTAGCCAACAATTATCATAAAAAAACAACCATGTAATATATAAACATGAGAAGAAACACGGGTAACTGTGCTTTTAGTGAGTCACGAAATTGAAAGGTGTTGTATTTCTGTGCGCCGATTTACCAGTTCAACGTGATGAGACACGTCTTAAGGCGCATATTTGGCGTTTTGAAGAGTGAAAGTACACCGGGACCGGTTCTCAATCTTTCCTCCTCGCTCTTAGACCTTGACATCGTCATACGCTGGCGGAGCCTCTGCGTGAACGACGCCGGAAGCTCCTTGCCATTCACACGTGCTAAGGTCTCGAGAATATCCTTGGCCTCGCTTAGACGACCTTTTGCTAACAACCATCGCGGTGATTCCGGCAGAAACCTATAATAATCTTCGATATTTCACATACCTTCACAAGCGTGTATGTAAAGCGAAGTGAGATATGAAAATGTTACTTTAAAATGCCATTTTAATTTACAATACTAATTTTAGAACCAAATTATTAACAAGTCTAGAGCTCATGAATGCATACAAACTTTGGCGATTAATTATCGAAAATATGTAAAATGGATATTCTAAATATGCTATAAAATTTTTTCAGCCATTTAATTTTGCAAAACAAAATTTTAAAAACTCGTATTTTGTCATACATTCTAGTGTTTAATGATAATTCTTATAACTTGTGAGTATTGTGTTATTCAATGTCATTGAAATTTTTAATGATAGCATTAACTGGTCACTCACCACCAATAAAAGAAATAGATTAAGAAAGGCGCACTCGTGGTTATGGCGAGAGTTCGCCAATCGCGTATCAAATAGGTGACACCTGCCAGCATGCAGAGCCCCAAAGTATAGAAAGTACAAGTCATAACCGTGACGAATGAGCGGTAATTAGGTCCAACCAATTCCAGAGCTACGAAGACAGAATCACTAATCAATTTCGCTAAATTTATGCACAAACGTAGATTAAAATAAGGATTAATAGAATATTCTTATTAGGCTTATATAATAATCTTAACCAGCAACATGATTGAAACTATTTGCGATGTTTAAATGCTTACAGATAATAAAGGGTATTTGATAAATCGCTGGTATCGTCAAGCCAACGATAAAGCGTGTAGAGGCCCAGGTCCAAAAATCATTTGATATAAAGGTCAGAAAACCGCCAGTAATCAATGTCGCCAAGCATGTGAAGAAAGATAATTTTCGGCCGATTCTACGAAAATTAAGACTCGAGATAAATCCATAGAAAACGTAAGGACACTAAAATAAATAAATAATTTCTGAATGGCTTTACGTTTGTCTAAAAAAACAAAAGAAGTATTTACACGCTGATGTAAGACGAGATGGTTGAATATAAGAAAGAAGGTTAAATTAAGGATACAAAAACAACATTTTGATGAAAAGAGACTATCAACCGAGCTCCAATTTACCTGTCGTTTAATGTACCAAAAAGATACACTCCTATAGGGCCTCCTGCATTAAGGGCTACTAACCCAATCGTTGGATAAATCGCGCGATCGCACACGAGATCAAACTGCAACATAATTACAGTTTTCCAATATTCAGTGCGATAGCTGTTGAGCAAAATCTATGTAAATTTATTCTTGCATTCTAAAAATTCTCAAAGTGAGACGTTTTCAATTGTAAATATTTCCGCGAGAAATACTGCACGTTTATATTTTCTATAAAAATCGATGGAACAGTTATAAAAGTCCAAAATTTGATTTCCCAAGAGTCTCTTACGATAAATTTATTTGCGACAATTTAATCGCGAGTTAATAAAAAATACAAACGCGATAAGAATGCGACAGAGGTCTTTTTTATATAACTAAACGTACGTCGATGACGATAGAAGACGTCATCTCCGAAGTCTCGTACTCCCAGCCGTGATCGCAGGGCATTATAGACCACGAGGAGTTGAGCGCAGGCGAATACGTCGTCGCGAAAGAATAGTTTTCCGGCGTCATCGTCGTCCAATCGACGTCGTACCGCATGCACTGGCTGTACGTCTCGTTGCCGTCCTGCATTCATATTACATCTTTTAGCGCCACGCCGCACCACGCCGTACAAATAATGCATCCGTTATGCTCGGAACTGCAAGACGGAATCGATTCTACTGGGATACGTCCGATCGCATAAAGCAAACGGCAGCTTCTACTTAACTCAATTTAGCGCGTTCTACTTGGCTGCGAAATTCCACGTGTACAGCGCAGCATTTAGCGGGATTGATTCTTTAATAGCTCCTAGCGCTGTTAAGAGATAGTGAACTAACGATCTGGAATAGTTCGCGCTGTCCAGCACGTTTTCTGAGCGCTAATCGGGCAATTCAATTTGCAACTAAATTGCGTGCGACGTGATTAATGGAAGAAATCACATTTGCACAGAAAATGGCACAACAAATTGCGTGCAGCGTTGAACTGGGAAAAGAAATACGAGACAATAATTACTGCATTTAGCGTCAAATGTGCAAAGGGAGTACAACGTCGTGCATCGACGTGTAATCAGCACGCGCATTTCTGCGTGTCAATTATAGGAAGAGTCTACATCTACGAAGCATCGCGTATTCTCTCGCACTATCGACCGCACCTGACTCGCGGGGATGGCGAGCCGCTTTCTACGGGCAGCATCTAGATGCTCCAGACCCGGCACTTTGCACCAATGCGACGGAGTGTCCGCCATAAACAGTTGATTAAAAGCGCAAAAGCCGCAGGGCAGGCACGCCGGCAGGCAGACCAGCCACAGCAATTGCTTCTGATAACGACCGAACTGTCCGACTATCGGTAGAAGATCGTCGAGATCGAAGCCCTCCTGCGAGACATTTCGATCAGAGCCGTTCGCGATTATCAAATAACATTTCCGATTGCAAAGAATATTTTATCACTATCTTCAGTTATAGATTCTATGAGTAATTTAAAGTTGGTGAAACTAATTTTTTAATTTTTACCATATTTTAAAATTTCAACATTTTGATTTTTGTCAATTGAGAAAATAACATTTTTTTTGGCATTGTTGAGTTCATGTTTAAATAGTCGTCTATTTTTAATTATCCTCTCAATATTTTTAAGAAAAATTGATTTTAGATTCCACTGTTTGTTTTTAAATCTTTCATCTGGATTTATAAATTATCATAAATCACTTTTTGTTTGCGAAACGTGATTCAAATGTGTACTGATTGTGAGATAAAAAAAAAGAAGCAATAATTTTTAATCATTACTCCAATGATTAAAGCGAACAGTTAACACAATCTCTGATATTAAGTTACGCTTTCACGTTCTTAATGAGTAATCACTAATTCAAAAGAAATGAAAAAACATTTGAGAAAACAGCTGATAAAATAATACTTACATCATCATCTCTGACATTATCGGCTGGTGTCGAGTCATTATCTTGTTGCTGCATTTCAGTGAATTTCGGCCTCGTCCAACGTTACCGAAAGCCTCCGATGATACCTTACAAAGACTTCACGTGACGTGTATTAGCTTCTATCCGTGGCCGATTCGACCGATGCAACGCGCGTTGCATCGTCTTGCCCGTCTTCCTCCGTAATAAAATTGCGAGAATGACGTCTCTCGCGTAGACTCGCAAAAAGGCGCACCATGCACTTCAACGATTTCGGCGTCGACGGCAATTCGCCGCGCTGCGACTTCTATCAACAGGACACGGGCCCAAAATACAAGGATACCAGTGAATTCAAGTGGTTTTTTTTGCCCAATTCGATATTCGAGATTTTTGCAAAAAATCTCTCTTAGGATTATTTATCAGAATGTCAAAGTTAAATTTGTACTTTTTTTCCTTCCAGTGCTCGCTTTTAGTGCTCCAAAAATACGCGGCGTAATAAAGAGAGCTTTGCGACAAAAGAGACACAATGTTAAATAATTCTTGACAAATTTTTTGCAATTATTTTAGCAGCCCGCGATAAGCAGAGCTTATCAAGGTTCGATTTTGACGTGCCACAAGAAATAAGTAATTTGCGAAAATTATGGAACACTGCTGCATAAATCTCAATCGTAATTAGCCTTATAATTCGGCAGCGATGCACCAAATGCGGAGCGTGCTTTAATTTAATCGCGTTAATCTCTTTCAATTTCACAAAACTGCAGTATTTACACGTGAACAGCGACACTTTGGACGATTCGATCAGTTGTACGCGCACGTTCGCACTGATCGAAAGAATGTATCGGAAATGCGGCGGGTGGTTAGTCTGTGTGACGCGTGTGTCGCGGAGTGTGTCTTTCTAATTCAATTGGGTTAAGGGTATTTAGAAGAGATTAAAAGTAATGCTGACACACGCCGTGTTACGGATGCACGATGCGACGATCTGATACCCTCCTCGTTCCCTCCCCCTCCGGATGGATCAAACTTTCGCGATACAAATTTTTTAAGCTCATTAGAAAATTAAGTCTTCAGATTATTCGACCTGATGATATCGAATTTTCCGAAAACACGTGCAAAAGTGCAATTTACAAGCGGCAACCTTTACGGAAATTATTACAAAAAGTATCACGGTTGAAAAATAAAATTTTAATTGCCTCAAAAATATTCGACAAATACGTAAAAGTTCGAAAAAAAAAAAAAAAATTAGTCGACATATTCGGCTGTGTGACGTGTTTGAGCGACGACTGGTAGAAATGGCATCACTGCGTGCATACAGATTTCAACTGGAATTTATTTTCCGGCTATCATGTTTTGTGAGAGAAAAGGAAATCATGAAATAAAAACAGGAAGCAATTCGCAATTTCCGCCGATTGGATATCGCCTCTCGATTACGCATTCCCGTGCGAGACGCGAACGAACGCACTTCTCTCGCATTTCAATGTTCGCGTCTCCGAAGAAAGTCAAATCAAACGGTGAAGAAACAGCAGTCGAAATGACTCGATATTGTATGGCACTGTCGCTTGGCGATTCGTATAATGTCTTGTCTCTCGCACTCATCGGTACAGTCAGCCACATTAATGTCTTAAGTGATATGCAATATCGAATTGATCCTGTACGATGCAGTGTGCGCGCAATTTTTGCCGTGCATCGAGGACGCGCGGACGCCGGCGGGGAAAAACGAATCTTCGCGAAAAAGTTCCGACCGATCGCGCCGCGATTTTCTGTGTCTCAGGAGTCTCGAGGCCCCCCGCTTACACGAGCGATCATTAATGTGACCGATTATACGTTAGACATACTTCCCGAAGAATCGTCCTCCAGTCATTCCACGATCGCTCTGGCATTCACATAAGCGATGTAGCCGAAGTCACATTGTCGTTGTCAATTGTAAACCTCCACAGGAAACACAGTCCTCGCAAGCACCACACGACTGACTCGAACCAAATAAGAATAAAACAATAATGCGATGCATTATCGCACCGCGTGGGCATGCCGCACCCTCTCCCTTTTTTTTTTTCAAGTCTGATTAGCTGCTCGCGTCCATCGAAAGCGGAACTCGCGATTAGAGAAACAAGTGAAGGAGGAAGAAATATGTTGTATTTCTTAAAGAGAAATCTCGAATCGCGTGATTAGAGTTGTAAATGGAGTGATTGTCGTTCCACCCTCGTAATCTTTGAATATGCACACATTGCAGTGTATTTCGATAATTATACTTAAGGCATAATCGATTTTGATTTTGTTTTTTTGAGTGAGAAAGATATATTTTGAAGACGTAGAGAAAATTTCTTGTACAAATCCAAAAATTGGACGAGGTGGACGGTAATTTTAAAATGTCTTTTTGCATCGATCAAATGTACCTGTATATAATAAATGAATATAAATAATCAAATATATTCTATGAATTTTGAAATTATAGATCATACACGAGGCAATCGTAATTTTATCGAAAAATTGAAACACTATAAACGCTACAATATCGTCTTCAATCGTCACTTGGCTCTCCAGTTGGAATTTCCGAATATTTAACGTCGCAAATGGAATACTCGAATAAATGTTTCGTACAGTTTAAGATCTTGATGGATCTTGATTAGAATTTTGGCTCTACATCCGCTTTATCCAAGTCGCGGATCCCAATATAGCTAAAAAATCCTTCACACATCGTCGTACTGTGCTATCGCAAAAGTTCTCGCGACAAGTTTTCATATTACAATAAGAGTAATGTTTATCTAACATGATAGCTCCCTCCCCCCCACTCGATCATAAACGCACAGTATTAATTCCAATATCTTTGCATGTCCCCTTGTAAATACTAAATATACAAAATAAAATGTCTTCTGCGACATCACATTTTTCGAAATTTCATAATTCTCTTTTGAAATCCGTCGGAAAGTGTGACGGATGGCCGCAAAACGCGGCGAATTTGATATTTTTCCCTTAGCTCGATACCGATCGCAGGCGCAAAATGGACATCGAGTTGAGCAAATGTCGATAATTACGTCCGATCTGTGAGGACTTACGCTGCGTAATACGATTGCCCGTCACGTCGCGAGAATAGGCCGTGATTTCTGCTCGTCACGGAACACCGATAAGTCGCGCTATCGCGATTCTTATCGCGGCACAAAAGACGCCTTACCCTACGAAGATCGGCGGATCGAGTGCCAGGAGATTACATGTAGGAGAGGGTGGAGCAACGGCGGCAGACGGACGTCCGTTCAGCTCTTTTATTTTTTTTTTTCTTTTTCATTCGCTTCGCCCACGCATATTATAGGTCGCCCAGAACACATTTTCTCCCACCACGCATCAATTATAATCATCCGATCCGCCCCTCTCGATCGGCAGCAACACTCGGCACACTCTCGCGCAGCGCACCAAACGTCATCCATGCACGCAGCTTTTTTTTTTGTATTTTTGTATTTTTTAATTTTTTAATTAGTTCGCCCACTTCGTCGCGACGGTGACGTTTTTTTTTTTTTTTGGTATCGCAGGGAGGATATCGCAGCGAGGAGACATGAGACCGATTCCCGTATCGCGGCGATCTTGCGAAAGCGAGAGATCTATCGAATCTGTCCAGTCCGCGACAGACGGTTCCTTTACTGCTTATTATATTAATGGAATTGTTTGGTACGGTATACGTTGCAATTAATCACTATGGAACACGCGATTTTTAATTGACGGATCGCAGCATCGACATTGGCATCGCGCGTGATGCGCGTTAAAAAAAAAAAAGCGCACCGCTTCGATTCATCATAGTTCTGCAATTTAATATGCGGTTCGGTCTCTCTGACGTAGAATTTCTCTCCTTCGACAACATCGCCGAGATCGGCGAAGAAGAAGAGGAAAATAACTCGCTTCTGCACTCCTGCGATGCATTTCGTCACCACCGTCGCGCGGTCAAGCGCATCGAACAATAGATCTACGCGTTGGGCTCGTGTTTCGCAACTCGATCGTTAAAAAATATTATCGAAAATATTGTCTCGTACGTACAAGGACACCGCAGGCGGGCGGCGAGTCGCGAGGGACGCCTGCGAGCCCGCGGGATCACCTGGAAACGCCAAAGAACGGCAATGCTGCGGCCATTTAGCGCTATATATTAGTTCAAGGTGCTTCGATGATCTAACATCTAAAAAATCCCATCAAAAATATACTCTAAAATGAAAAAATACCTGCTTGCTTCAATGATTACGTCAGAATACAAAGGCGATCGCCGAGAGAGCGAGACGAAACGTATTATCGATCCGTCTCCTCCCCCCGGCATCTTTTGGACACTCGACTAACAACTTTTGGATCCAAAAATACATTTGCATCAGTAGTGTGCTATTATTCGTTATAGTAATATAGAGATCACTTCCAGGAAACTTTCCATCGATCCCGCGAGCCGATAGACGGCGCGATCCGGCCCGCCCCGCGATACAAAATTTATATTTACTTTTACACGTTTGCTTCGCCTCCTCTCACCATATATCGACGATCCGTTCTCCCTTCTTCGAACGTGATGCCGCGATTCACGACGAATCACGAGCCAACCACATTATCATCAACATCCTCATCATTATAATCACCCTCAGCATCAGCATCAACATCAACATCAACATCATCAACATCATCATCATCTTCTCTCCCCGATCCATTCCTTCAATCATCATCGACGCATCCTTAGTAAAGTATTCGCTCCTTACTTACTTACACAGCGCACATCATCACTGATACAGCGTAATGCACACGACTTTTAAATATACTAAAATACGCTCATCACGTACGTTCGCTCTAGTAAGCATCGCACGCACTCTAGGAGTCTCGACGATGAAAAGGCTAAACAACTAATTAGTCGCTTTGTCGCGCTATTATGAGTTTCCCCCAGACTGGCTTCGCGTGCTGCCGGCGAGGAGTTTCCCGTCGTCACGCACCGAGGACCGTCCGCCGCAAGGACGTCTCGCGTCACTTCCTCGCGATCGTTACGGCGAACAATTCTCTCTCGTGTGAGGAGCGTTGTAGATTTTGCGCGCGAAAAAAAAAAAAGCTTTCCGGTGACTTGCGACCTCACTGACGAGCCCACACAGCAGCGTCGGAGTCCGGTTAATTTTTTTTTTCCCCCCACGTCGATTTAACACTCACCGTGTTAATCTTCTATCACTTTCCTTTAAGAAATCTTTGGCATGCGAATTTTTGGAATATAAACCTATCTTGTTCCGCGGATCTCCTGATGCTTGGCTAAATGGAATCGAAGGCCGTCCACAATAGTCGAGGTGCAATTTAAGGTATTCGAGAGTTAATCGCGAGTTGATTGCGGGATGTATAAAAATTATCCGCCCGGCGTGAACGCTCGTCGCTCGACACTTGTCGCGAGGCCAGTCTGACGGAGCACGGCACCCGCGAGCGGCTTTTCCTCCGGCGACGATCCCGACGTGTGCGTTTCAGGCTCGATCAGGATAGTCGAGGTAGAGAGAAAAGAGGAGGGCTTCGATCGTAGGATATGCTGGATCAGGATCGTCCGCCAGAGTTTTGATCGTTCCTGCGATCGACGAAATGATCGCGTGGTCGCGAGAGCCGTGCTCTCTTCAAGGGCAGAACGTCGACCCCTCGCACACGAGAGTCTCTCTCCGAAAATCACAGTCGTATATATAACTATTTTATTTCTTCTTTCTTTTTTGTATTTTCGTACCTTTTATCAGTTCTGTCTCTCCTCACTCTCTCTCTTTCTCTCTCTCTCTCTCTCTCTCTCTCTCTCTCTCTCTCTCTCTCGCTCTCCCTTTCGCTCTCGCAAACTTTTGATTTAACCATTCATCAGCTTCAACTCTCACGCCTGACTTTTTCCTTCTTTCCACTGGCAGATCCGACGACGCAATTCGCGGCGATTTCACGCCGGTACCGAGACGATCTTTTTTTTAGAAACGAGCTTTTTCGAGATCCAGGTATGATTATTATTACTATGGATAAATACGCTAAAATCAGTTCAGACTATCAATCCTTTTATTACAAATATATATGTGTATATAAGTCAATACTAATAAAAAACAAAAAAAAATTAGCAAAATATATACGAATTAAATTATCATTTATATCTCTCGAAATCATATATATGACTTTTGTTCAAGTTACGATCCTTTTTATTAGTGACGATAAAACTGTGGATATGTAACATCGATGCAATATTTCGATGCCGCAATCGATCTCAGATTGTTCACAGCTTAGCACCAGATTGACATTGAGAAATATACGATCAATCTCAGCACCAAAGTCGGAACGTGCTGCGAATTCCGACGACCGTCACACGCAAACTCTCGATTGCGAATCAGAAGAACAGGCGAGCGATCGAGTTCTTTGCAAGATGCGGAAAGACGCGCACCGCTGTCCTCGTAGCACTCTTTCACTCTCACTCTCGTTCTTTTCTCTCTTTCTTTCTCTCTACATCTAATTTCTGCTATGTGGAATGTATAAAAAAAGGATATTCGCGCGCCTCTATATCGAATTCATCGCGATCGAGAGACTCGCTCTTGATCGCGATCGCTAACTAACCGTCGTCGGTGATGACCATGCTGAAACGGTAAGTTATCGAAATATATAATTTTAACGTACGGGGGAGGGGGGGCATCGCGTTTCGACAACAGAATAATCGTCTTCTTTGACAAACATGAAAGAAGAGACGAGAGAAACAATCGATTAGTTAATTTACCACGCGAAATATTTGTTCATTAAGTTTAAGTTGCTTAATAAGTTTGCTGTTAATCAATTTAATATTATTTAGTCGTTTATTTTAAGTATTTCAGGAAAAAAAAAATATTACAGATACGTTTTAACACATTTTGGAAAAACCATTGGCTATTCTATAAATAGCACGATCGCTTTAAAAAATACAGACAGAATTCCTCGAATAAATATTGCCACAAGCTCAAAACATCCTCCCGTGTTTTCGCAAGTTATATACTCCGTAATTCTTGAAAATATCGTCTTAGAAAAATAGTTCATTTTTCTCTTAAACAAGTGATTTCAGTATATTTATTTTTCTTATGTGTATATATATATGTTATCAAATGTAATATTATTTCGATAGACATAATCGATAGATGAATTGCAAATCAGTGATTCTTTTGCTCTTCCTTGCTTTCTTGCTTATTTACAATTTGGCAATATTCGTGTTACAATCTATCAAAGATAGTACATCGTTATCACTATGGATTGTTAAACGTTACTCAATCCAACAGATATGGAAGTAAAAAATCAGTGACATATACACCTCTTAAATAAGTAACAGAAACAAAAAGAATCTCGTTGCCTTCGCAACTTTGTGTGTTAGGTGTTTAAAATATTTCTCGTAAAAACCCAGGCTACGAAAATATCGTGGCAACACTTATGCGGGACAATATAATAATAAATGTCACATTGTGTGCAAAATAATTCACAAATATAAAAATCCTTCGAGCCACGTGCTTTGAGCGTGCGTCCCGCGGACACGCGATTAAAGTCGCACGAGAGTTCTGAAATTTCGTAGATGCAACGGCATAAGTCAGCCGAGTAATCGTTCTATATATTAATCTCATTACCTCGTTCATCGATCGAGCGCCAGTGATATTTCCGCGAATTGTGTATCTTTGCTTGTCAAAACACGCTTGCCCCACTTTATTATGTTAAAAAAAAAAACTTAAGACTTCTACGCTCACTACGTCACTACCTCCTTCTTGCAACTCAAAATTCGCGATTCGCGACGGGTGTAAATAAGAATAATTAGACACGTACGAGTGAAATCACTACAAAAGACTCGAATTACGAAAAAAAATACCGGCGCGTTCGCTGGCAAAAGTATTTGGAATGCATGGCACTACCACAGACACACTTCTCGACGACGACGTGACGTAAACTTATGGCGTTATCTCGGCGAAGTGTCGCTTAAAAAATTAAAAAAAAAAATACATCGCGAGCCGCAGAAGATTCAGAAAAAAACGATCCGTGAGGAGATTCTTCGCAATTCTACAGAAAACGGCTCGCGATGACGTGCTTCGCGATCGGCACGGCACTGACTATACTCGTCATCAAGGACGCGATTTAAGCGGAGGTAGAGATACCGGGTACTTGAGATGTCCTGGTCGAACGCGAAGGGAACGTCCTCGCGGACGATTTTGCCGCGTGTGCAGACACCGTTCGCGGAGAAAAAAAAGAGAAAATAATCAGACTCTACGACACTAGGCTATGTCAACTACCCGTTCGAACAGGTCACGGTCCGTTTCGCACGCGATCACGGTACCTTCTGAAAGTCCCGGTGATCCGCGAAGAGGCTCTCTCCCGTCGCGCAAAGGCGTTCAACGACGGGCGTCGTCGCTGCGCGTCCCAGGGGAAGACGATCTCGTTCAGAACGAGATCTCAAGTGACCCAGACGTCTCACGTACGCGGAAGGAAGAAACAAAAATTTTTTTTTCTCTCTCTCTCTAAAAAATGTCTGGACAAGCCGTGCAGCGTTGTTCCAAGTGGCAGTGCGAAAGGCTTCTTGTCTGTGGGTGGCACTCGTGGGTACCGTGATCGCGCGACGCATTCCGCGACCGATTATTCCGAAAAGGGGGATGTACACATATATATATCGACAAAGTATAAGGAAGGAGCGCTGGGGGGGGAGGGGGGAATGAGATACAAGAGGAAAAAGGGAGGGGGTATGTTTCTTGAGCACTCGGTATCATTTGCTCCTACGGACGTTCAGGCCGGACGAGGACTTCGGTACAACTAAATCACTTGTGCCATCAAAATATTAACTTTAATGAAGCAACCAACAGCAACAGACATTCACATACGAGGAAAAAAGTAACATACACAACATCATCTCATACTACTACAACAGATCACGCGGATTCTCGCGCAGCACGATCGGAAACAAGGGTCACTCAATGAATTGAATTCAGCAATCTTGCCGATCTTTCGCACTCAGTCTTCCTTTTTCTTCCTCTCTTGCGCTCTCTCTCTCTTTCTCTCCCTCTTTCTCTCGTTTTCTCTTCCTCACTGGCCACTCATGCCTCATTTCGTATAGGAAAGTGATACTCTTTTGTATGCGCGTAAACTCGACGATTCTAAGCATCGGTGGCTATCGATTCAAAATCTACTGCACATCGTTGAGAAGCTCGACGAAGCTTTACAACGAGTCACCATAAGTAAAAGATTCTCGTTATTCTCTCACACATACATACATACACATACTTATTTTACTAAATCTTTCATTCACGTACACGCGCTTTTTTTTCTTTTCACTCTCTCTCTCTCTTTCTCTAATATCTATCATGCTATCACTTTATTTCGGAAATATTCTCCCTGAGTCTCTCGCTCTCGCTCTCCCTCACTTGTACAAATACTCTTCATCCAACCTCTCTTGGTGTTCCTGTCGTGCTCCTGGTGTCTCACTCTCTCGCATCCTCTTCCATTCATTTTCTCTTACGATCATCGTCCATCGAAGTCGTCCTCGGGGTTTAATCTCTCAATCATGCGGACAGAAGCCGCAGGCTCGTTTTTACCACCAGGCATACTTGCAATCGGAATCGGCAGGCTTCTCACATTTGGCCTTAATTCATTCATCGGCAACATCCACTTGCACTCCTCATCATCCGTTGTCTCAGCATCCGGCAGACAGGTACTTATTCTTTTTATTCTCTCTTTGTCTCGCGCGCGCGTTTTCTCTCTCTCTCTCTCTCTTTCTCTCATTCTCACTTTCTTTCTCTCTCGCTTTCTCGCTAAAAGTCCCTTTCTCTCGGTTCATATGGGCTGCGCTCGACGCCGATATTATATCGATAAAATACCGTCGCCAGATAGGGACACGTGCAGACTCATCACCCTATCTCGTCATCATCGCTTCGGAACTCACGCACATCCATCAACTCGCATCATCCGCACCATCCAATCTTGTTGTCTTTGTATTGTGTTTGATAGCTTTCTAGTCAAATCAAATTGCACGACAGTACAACCGTGGGGTGATCTGTAAACAACAAAAGCGAGCCAAATATCAGTCACCGTCGCTCATCGGTGCTCTGTCTTTTTTTTTGTTTTTTTTTTTGTTTGGGGAGGGAGGTTTCGGGTAGGCGTATTAAATCACGTACGAAAAAAATCCATGGTATAGAAAACAACGCTACGAGAAGGCAGCGCATTCCTGACGGCGCTGAAACAATTTTTACAATGCACTCACATGCTCACGTACACGCGTGTTCTTTCTCTCTCTCTCTCTCTGCTCTTTTTTTTCTTCCGCCCTCCCCTTTCTTTCCTCCTCTAACAGTCCTAACTACGGTCCTACCCTCACTATAGAAAAAAAAAACTTGTCATTAAACTGCGACGGGAGACTGTACGATGACCTAAACGGTTAAATATGCATGACAAAGACGGAGTCTTCCGGAAGCCGAAAGGAGAAGAACGGCAAAAGTAACGAAGGTGAAGTTACTCGTCGCTCTAATAAGGATACGAACTCAGATCCGAATCGGAATACGAACTCAAAATAAAATGAGGTGTTAACGCGCCTTCTTAGAATGAAATTAAATCACGGAAAACGCGTTGCGAGTGACTGGGCGCGGCACTTACGTGTCAAGAGAAATATAATGAAGCATTACTTACCAACTGGACGTAACATTGGCGACAGTTTTGAGTTTTCGAATCTCCTTTGCAGCCCAGCTCGCCAGTTGTTTAGTTTTGTGAGTGCGTGACTTCCTGCCTTTGAGCAGCAGGTCGTTGAGCGGTTCGGTGTCCACCATGGGCAGCAGTTTCACCCCGAACACTATGACGAGATCGCCCAGGAGGCCGACCGCGGCCGACACGTTGCCCTCGGAATGCTCGCGGTCCTGCGCTATCGAGGTGATAAACTGTATGATGAACGGTACGTGCGGCTCGATGAGGGAGATCTCGCCGTCCGAACAGTTGTTCGCGTCACCGCGGAGACCTTGGACTATGCCGGTGTAAGCCTCGAGTACGCCCTCGCGCAATTCGTTCAAATAATCGATCATGTCGTAATCGCTCCTGTCTACGTTGGCCTGCGACGCCTGCATCAACGTCTGCAGTACAACGTCCAGGTATTTCTTGAACTGCGGACCGATGCTCATAGCGATGTCACCAAAGGCGGAGAAGATCTGCGGCTTCACCGAACGATGTACAGCGTTATTGCTGAGATTCTCGAGCAGCAGAGTCATGATTTCGTCGCAGTGGGGCAACATCTTGCCCTTAAGCGCGCGACAGATGTCACCAGTAAGACCAACCGCCGCACAGCACACCTGGTATTCGGCGTGATTCTTTAAGCCGAGGCAGAGATAGGGCTTGAAGGCCTCCATGTACTTCAAGAAGCCGTCGCCTAGCACTTCTACCAAGGTCGATACAGCCATAAGCGCGTCCTCTTGAACTCCGCCCGATTTGCAAGAATTCGAGCTGAACATGGCCAACAAGGCAGTCATTATTACATCGGATATCTGCGGTGCGTCCTCTGAAGTAACTTTGCGCAGTACGGACTGCAAAGTTGCGCAGAGCAACGATTGCAGATCGTTATATTGAGCGCGATCAGAATGGCTTTGTATGTGCGATTCCATCTGCAGCACCTGTTGCAGTCGTTCGAGTATCACCATGGTGGTCTTCTGCACGGTCACGTAACAATCTCGTGGAGAATTCTTCACCATTTCCATTAGAGCCTCGTAAGCGGCGGATCTCAGATTTGCCTGCGCCCCGTCTGGTCTATCCGTCGTCTCCAAAAGTCGTTGAATGATAAAATCAAAGTATTGTGACATGCAATATGTTTCTGGCTGATTGCCGTCTTCCGCCTCGGCAGACTCGTAACTTGCCTCTGCTAATCCTGTGAATGCCCAGCATACATTTGCAGCAACTCGCGGTTCTGCTTTCAATCCGTTCACCAAAGACTCCAATAACGGTTTCAGGTAAGTTTCATTGATTGCGGCATCTGGAATCATCTCGCATATACGGCCGAAGGTCCATGCGGCGGTATCGCGCACGACCACGCTAGTGTCGTACATCAATTCGATGAGAGTGGGCATAGCTTGTTCCACCAGCGGTTTCAACGTGGCGGGCTCCAAACCACCGAGAATCGAACCAAATGCCATCAATGCCGCATCTCTGTACCTCCAATCGGGACTCTTGATATTGTCTTTGACAAAAGGAAGAACGAAAGGAACAATAGATTCCTCGCAGCAACTTGACAGCAGCATCAAGCAAACTCCCGCCGCTTTCGAAGGGTTCCAATCATCCTCGTCATCAAATTCTTCCTGTTTGGTTAATTTTTTCATTAGCACCGGTACTAAGTATTGTAGAGCTCCTTTCGCATAATGGCGTGAGACTTTTGACGGCGGACGGCCTCCCTCCAATGCTTCTCCTTCTTCCATTGATAAATCAACTTCCTCGTCAGACACGTTCGACCAAAATTCAATTCCTTGAAGTGCTACTTCGTCGGTTTCGGATTTCATAGCCTCCAAAGTAATCTGTAACAAATTTATTTATAAATTTATATATCCGCTATCATCTTTTTGAAATATTTCGAAAAAAAACAATCTAATTTTCTAAATAATGATGAGTTTTTTAATATTTTTTCACATCTGTCGAATATGCATCACTTACAGGAAACAGTGCTGGAGCCATATATGGTTCCATGTATTGATAATACAGTGACATAATTTTCACAAGACACTGTAATGCAGCTACTCTGATTTGGGTATTACTGGATTGAGTAGCCTCACACACTACTTCCATTATGAAGTTTCGCTCTGTCTGTAAATAGAATTAAAATGTCAAAACGATAGTTGCTTATTGCACGGACTGTATCGCAAACACCAACCTCCTTTTCGAAATTTCCTTTCGTGAACTCCAAGGAATTGTAAAGAGCTTTTGTAGCTGCTAATCGAACGTGATTCGATGTGCTGGAACCCTTCATGCCATGAATAATAGCAGTGAGAATCTCGTTTGATTGCGATACCAGTACTTCACTTTCAATTTCTTGACAGATATATCCAATGGTTTCTAAAGTAGCCTCCTTCATCATTTCGGTACTAGTTGTGTTAGCAACATTACTGACTAACAATGGAATTAATTCGCTCCATGACCCAACAGGTAATTCGGCAACAGCAACATATGCGACACATTGTGCCGCGGAACTCGGCCTATTGTTCTCCGTTCCCAATGCTCCTAAAATCTGCAAGATACACAAATTATACAATAAATAAGAATTTTCATGATGTAACAAAACACAAAAAGAGGTAAGTCTTCTTACATTTTTCTTAATGTATTCCCTTGTTTCAGTAGGGATGGTAAGCCAGCGTTGCTGATACTGGAACTTCATTTCAGGATCCTTGGAGGTAAGTTGGTTTTTGAGCTGTAGACCCGCAGCCATACGGGCGACGGGGCTCGCGCCGACTGTGACCAGCACAGCGCTGAGTCGTTGCACGAATTCATGCTATAAAACACATACAATTGCAATATTTAGAATAATCACTGATTTTTGCTGATGCAACTTTAAGCGTCGTTTTACTCACGAGATTGGCATCAGCCGCCTGCTGTAGAAAATTCTGCGCCGCCACCAACTCATTTTTATCTGAAAATGCGACAAACACATATTAGTCGCGCCCGCCGAGATAATCGCGGGAATTATAGGTTAGACAAGCGCGAAGCGCTTCGCAATGCGTGTCGCGAATAACGAGGTGCAGATGCAAGCAACCGTCACGCAGGACAATACTTTTCCGGCGACGAACAAAGCGCCTAGCAACAGCACGACGGGGCGCGATATCGCGCGTAACCGTACGCGAAACGACTCTCAATGTCGTCCGCGAGGCAACGACAACGAACGCGCCTTTGGAAAAGCACGGGGGGGCTGGGAATTCGAAGACGGCAACTGTATTACAACAATTCCGCTGCAGCACGAATAGCGACGCGCGAGCGAGTCTTGGCGATGTATTCTCGCGAGCTCCGGAATCATTATCGCGCGCGAGCAGATTGCGCTTCAGATCGAGATGTTTCGAAGACGCTCGACGAAAAAAATGGAACGCGCGGGCCGGCATCCGTGACGTCGACCACGGCACGCTGGCGTGACGATGGCTCAACACTCACCCGATGAGACGGTCCTTTCGAGAACCTGAATCAGTTGCAATGTCGTTGGATCCATCTGCATGATTAACAGTGGTTTGCTCTCGTCTACGGCGTGATCTAGTTGCGAGTCCCGTCGTCGGTGATTCGACGCGAGGATATTTACGCCTATTCTTTAGTACGAAAGTTCTTGTCGCGACCGGCGGACATCCACATGTAGCCACCACCGACTCAACTGCTTCGATATTCCCTCCCCCACCACTCTACCGTCCACTTCCTGTTGGCGGACGGTTCTCGCCCTCTCTCTCTCTCCTCCGAAACTCACGACGCGATTGATCGCTCGCTTTCACTCTCTCCACCGTCGGGCGCTCGCTTCCACAACGTGCAGCGTAGTGATATTCGCACCTTTTGATATTCTCGCGCACGCTGCACACGAATTCCGAATTCATCGAGGAAGAACGCGGTTTGCTGCTAACAAGCACTACAGAATCGACACGATAAATATCTCAGGCGCGAAATTATCATCGTATTTCTCTATTGTTTTTCCATCCCGATCGTGTAATGTTTCCACAAGTGTGAACTATTTTCTTGGCGCGTTGGAAACTACGCAATACGCATGCTCCAACCATTACTCACGCCATCTGGTACTGTTGCGAAGCAACTACATTAGATGCGCACCTGTGCGCAGAATTTCTTATCATGTTGGTGGGGGTTTTTTGATTTTAGAGTACGCATTCCAAGTATAAGTTTTTCACGTGAAAAGGTCAACTGGAAGTAAGCTGCCAATTCAATTTCAAGAGTCGAGTTTCTGAACTTTGATAAACCTACAAATCTACAATGTTTTCGTACGTATTTCGATTTCTATCGATAATAAATTTACTTTTTCGAAGATCTGAAATCAATATTTCTGGAGCTTCCGCTCAAATATAAGATTCGCTTTACAATTATGTACATATTACATTATTTATTGATACTTTATTAATATATGCTCCATTTATTTATGAAAATATAATTTTAGGATTATGTTATAAACAATATCGTACTATCCATCGAAAGTTCATTTATTTTCGTGTAGCTCGCTTATTGATAGATCAGCATTATCCCTCGCGATTGTACACATTTATTTGTTGCCGAAGAAAATACTCGTTAACAAAATTCGCTACGTAGAAAAGCATCAGTGTTTGAATCTTGATTGTTCATTGGCGTATTTAAATTCTAAAACCGGTGCAACGTGTTGAACCTATGACCAGATGTACAGGATCTTTCAAAGGCAGGAAGGTGATGAAAAGCCGACCTTGAACTGAAAAGCCATCGAATGGGCGAGCTGTTATAGTAAAGTAGGGGAAGAGCAGGGTTTGACTGAAGAGCGTGAAAAACTAGTCGACATTGATCGCTTTAGTAGATTTAATGAAACGATATACAGAATACATTTGCTTTCGTAATGCATCGCAACGCATTCTCGCGTGCCTTACCATCTATATCACATGTCAATTTTTTTTATTTATAAAATATAATCGTTACAATTTTTTTTGTTCTCACATCTTGCCTTTGAACTGTCTCTTCGTCATATATATCGAAAGTATATATTTATATGTATATATATATATATATTTATTTTTATTTATATATAATATATTCATTTATTTATATATATATATATCTGTATTTATATATCTATATATATATTTATATTTTATATATATGTTATATTATTCCAAGCGAGAGGGAACTGTATTGTGGCTCGGCACAGAATTAACAATGAATAGGCCAGAAAGAAGGTTTTATGAATGTGCATGCGCGCGTGTATATATGTGTATGTCAATATTCGAGTATGATATTACACAGTGACATATTCACGTAATATTACGCATTGCATCGACGGTCGTATGAATGAAAAATCGGCAATCAGAGACCGAAAAATATTTTTCTCTCACGATTTCTTAATTGTCCAGCCGCTGAAGTTACACCTGCTACACACCTATTTTCTCTCCTATTTTTTTTTATATTTTTCACTCATCGATCGCGTAATTGCACAGCGAGATTACATGATCTCGTGATGCAATTAATTGTCAATTTTGTCTTTTCAACTCAACGACCGCCGATACGTCGACATTCCGTTGTTTCCTTTGGCTTTCCCCGTTTCGCCGCGCGATTAATGCATTCGATCATTTGCATCGGATAAAGTGGAGCACTTATGAGAAAGAGGGAGATGGAGAGAGAAAGTAAGATCGATGCCAGGATCGAAAGATTTAGTGCTTTCATCGTGAATTGTCTAACGACACTTACGTGGACGTTTGGCTGCTATTCACATTACCTTTCTGTCTGTGTAGACGTGTTTGTTTGTACTAATTTAGTAGATTTATTTTCGGTGCAACATTCATCCTTCGCAGTGCATATGTATGTGTCTAGCGCGTGATAGTACATTTGTCGTACATTTATAAACACGATCTTTGGCCGAGCGTGCGGACGTTCGTAGGACAGAGTGAAGCAGTGAGAATTAATCAAGAAATAAAGAAAATTTAATGTCACGCTCAAATAAATTTATCATCTTATTTGTCGAAACGTGATTATTGATATGCAGATTATAACAGTTTATTCGATTGCCAAATTAGAAATTTATGCACAGTAAACTGTAATCCGAAAATTATACTTTCAAGCTAAGATTTACAAAATGATTGCGAAGAAATTAATTATGTCCTCATTTTCAGTTAGTCGAAGGATAAAGTTAGTTTGTGTGATTTTTATTTTAATAGAGGGCATTTTTATCAATGATAGTGAAAAATATACGTGGACTAAAAAATTGACACCGAAACAATTAATTCTTCTTCAAAATGATAGAGAGAAAGCTTAGTAACTCGCATGAAGAAAGAGTGCTGTCAGAAACTAAATCTCGAACTTACTTGAAAAATTTTTTAAATCTTAGAGATTTGTACAGTGCAGCGTGTGACATGTGTTTTCCAACATCGTAATTACCTTTCCGTTCATTTTAACGAAGAATCGTGCGACAATTTCCACATAGTTTTCACGGCGGAACGCCCTGCACACGAACATCCGCCGCTTAACGAGCCAGCAATATGTGTGTGTGTGCTCTCGAATAAACTCAGTTGCGACGTCGATATCGAGAAATAATTTATTAACAAAATTTCGGAGAGATTTAAATAATCTGTTGATCGAACATTTATTGCATACATCGATGAAACGGGGAAAAGGGGATAGATTTACAACTAACGGAATTGACTGTTATTTCCTTACAGCAATGACAGATAATCGATTTTTTTTTTTTAAACAACAACGTCGGGACGATCTCGTTCGTTTCGTCGCGAAGACGACGACCGTACTTGTCACGCCCGAACGATCCGATGTTGTCCTTCCATTTCTCCTCTTCCCTCCTTCTCTCGCGTTTCCATCTCTCACTCCCGCCTGTTCTTCTTATGACATTTTCTCGTAAAAAATAATTCGCCGTAGCGCTGGGTCCAGGGACGATTTTCCGCGATCAGGAGCGGAAGACATCAGTCTCGCGCTTTTTTTTTTCCCACCCTTCGCGCGGACTCTTGTTAAGAAAAAATATATATAGGAACAAAAATACGTCGCTCCGAACGGCCATCTCCCGCTTGACGAGGCCGGAATTCTCTTCGGGGTTTCTGCGAAATCTCGATCTCGGATTTTCCTTTCCGACCGATAACTCCTCTCCCGAAATCTCCTCTGGACTCAACACTTTATTCGCACGGGTATGAAAGTCGATTCCTATATTCGAGGATTCCGCCGAAAGGACGAGGACTGATATGAGAAAAAGATAAGGCGAATCTCCGACGAAGCGTTCGTCCTCGAGGATCCCGATCGTGTTGAAACGTTTCTTACAAATATGAAAAATGATTTCCGTTTTTTTGTTACACTGTGATAGATTGGTGCCAATTGTTCTGTCTGATTTTATCATCAAGTCATCGATATAAAATTTTTTTTTTTTCTTATTTCAGTCATTTTTACCCGCCAGAATTTCTTCCCCGCGCATGCAATTCGCCCACCCAATTAGTCCATTATTAAATACTCATCTTCGCAACGGACGGACGAAAACATTTTATATTTATCGAGATATTGGCTTCTGTACTTCAAGCAACGATATCATATTCTTCTATCTTCTATAATAGAAATATTAGTTATGATTTCTCATAGTTATATCATACGTTCATAAAAAGTGCTTGTTTTTAGAAATTCTAAAGGTAAGATTTTATATCTCTAAAATTGTTCAATTCGTAAAAACCTTATTTCTCGCGTTACAAAATATCCTGACCGAACATTGGCACTAGTCTGGCACTAATCTAAAACGAGAATTTTCTTATTGCTATCGATTTCACGTCACGGATCGGTTTTCCTCAATGAGAACGAACGCTTCTGAAATTTTGTATCCTTCGTGCGATCCCCGCGTGAGGAACGGAGAATCGACGCTCTTGCCCGTGTTATCCTAATTTCGATCGCAAGGGTTGTCCAAGCCTTTTTGCACCCTCGGATCCTCTATTTACCTTGCATTCTCACCGGGCATTTTGTCTTTTGAACACTTGCGCGCGTATTCATCCGCAAACGTAGACGTGCTATTAACAAATCACCTGTTACACGGAGAAACGTTCTCGAAAACGTGACAAACTTTTCTTCTAAAGTAACTTAATTCGTGTATCATGCATCGTGTTTCGCATTTTTGTGACGATACCAAATTTTGCACGCTGGAAACGAAATCGACGGGTCCCTTTACAGAAAGAGTCGTGAGAACATTAAGTGAATTGACTAATTAAGCCGTTATCACTTATCGGTGATTAACATACACATGTTGCTATGCCATATAAGCTGTGCATGCGATATAAAAGCTATTGCGCCGGATATCGGCCAGAATAGCAACGGTGTCCACACTGCGCTCGCTATATATATGATAAATATATTATTACATCAGATGTGTGTGTTATTTTATATTTAGTTTAACTTTGAGGATATCTTGAATATTCTTTCAAATACGCCACGGCAAATATTTCGCTAATAAAAATTTTGGAGTAATGTCTACGGTAATAAAAAAATCAAACCTGTAATTTTCTGTCGCAGGAAATGATCATAATCATAGCGAGCCTAAGTTTTTTTTTTTCTGGAAACCGTTCCTTCATAATAATTATTAACATGTAACACTATTACAATCATTATAGTTAATCCTTCACGGCCAAAATCGTTTTACAGATGCAATTAAATATCATTATAGTTAATCACATTTTGACACAAGACACGATTTTATTTAAAAATGTTACCCTTTTTTAATTTTCACATTAATTACGTCTCACCTTGTCAAACAAAATGAGAGCTATACCTTTCCGGCCGCAAAGCATTAATTTTCAGTTAGCAAGTTAGAATTGAGAAAAAATGTTCCGAAATATCGCAAAAGCTTTCGGATCAGTTCGCAAAGATAAAATAGGGACAATTTTCATTTCCAGCGATAAAAATAAACATCTGAAATTCTTCCGTGCACTTTGCCATATGCGAGATCGCGCTTCAAAAACACCGCGCGAACGATCGTCAAACGTAAAATATAAAAGACGTTAATTCGGAGAATCACAATTGCAGAGAGCTAATGAAAGACGAGATCGATTCGGATTCCGCCCCGTCCGCGATGCGTCGAACATTTGCGGATACACACGGCTTTAGATTAACACATACACATGTAATTATCATTATCTATTGTGCACGTAATTGTGCAGATATTTAATGCAGTTCTGTGTGTGTATGTATGTATGTATATGTCTGCTTGTGTTTGTCTGTGTCGATCACGGTGTGAGGATAATGCCTGATCTGTCGTGTTACGGAGCTCGGATCGCGTTGCGATAGCGACGGTGGTTATCATAAGATTGCAATCGATTGAGATAACTGCGCTCGAACAAAACAAAAAAGAAGAAAAAACAGATCTCAAGATAAATTCTAAAGAGATAATCAATTGCAGTGATTCTTGAATAATATCTTCATATTCGTATAAGTAAAATAAAACTAGTTATAAATATAAAAAAAATAAAATAAAAGAACAAAATTGAAGATACAATTGAAAAAGTCTTCAAAGATTTTTACATTTAAATATCTATATTATCTGAGGAAACACATTATAAATTTTTGTCCCGCTGCATTGCAAAGTCACTCCCAATCTGCAATCTTACTTCATCTTACGGTACTTAAATGTGGATAAAGTATTAAGATATACATCAAAACAGAGATACGGTAATCCTGGCGGCGAGGACGCCTACTTGAAGGGACTCGATCAGCATCCTCGGTCGTCTGTCGCGTCAATCGAAGGGCACTGGTGCGATGAAGGACGTTTCAACGACGACGACGGCGAAGCTTAGCGAGACAATGGTAACACAAAGTGGTAGTATAAAGGTAACGCCGGTAACAGTGGTAGTATAAAGGTAACGCCGGTAACAGTGGTAGTAGTGGTAGTAACGCCATAGAGCAGTAACGCTATCAATGAGTAATAGTAAGTATAATAATGGTATAGTAAAGTATAGTAGTTTGTAGTAGTTAAGTAGTAGTAGCGGCGCGTTATATGTATATAAATAGGACATTCTACGTTAGTTTGATTAAAAGTAAATGTCATAACGTAATAGGTAACTTTAAGCCGGGCTCGTCTCGCCGTGGCGCCGGATCAACCCTCTCCTCGCGCTCTTCCGAACGAGGCGAGCCCGTGGTTGTTCGCCTTAGCTTTCTAAAATCACATAAACGCAAGAGTAGTGGTAAAGGGTCGATTGATATCGACCACGCGCCTTGGACGGCGCTCCGATGACGCTAACGATGCCGAGTGCGAGTCTGTTTCGCGAGTGCATGCTTGCGTGAGGGGGAGAGAGAGAGAGAGAGAGAGAGAGAGACAGCTCTAACGAACCGCGGAATCGGGAATCTGTGAAAGTCCAATGATGGAAATGTCTAAACTATAAGTTGTGCAGCTGTGAAACCGAAATCCATTTATAGGCGCCATTCTGTTCTCGATATCGAAATACGGAATTAAGTTTAAAAAATGCTTTTTACCAAGCTTTTTCTATTAGTTGATAATTTACGGCAAAGCTGTATAGTTTTAAATTACTTCTGAATGTGTGCCTAGTTGTAAAATACTTGTAAAAATGTCTAGTAAATATTTAAGATAATTAATCAAGTACTTGCTGAATTCTTAATACCTCCTTAAAGATTGACGTGTGTAAAACGTGTAAAAAGTGTCTATAAAAATACTACGATTAAAATATATCTAGTAGAGTAGTTTCTCAACTGTCCTATGGTTTACTTTAAACTCATAAAATAATCTCGCCACTCCCAAACTCACTTCCATTAGCATAAATACTCTGGGGACTCGTGTTGCAGCCAGCTGTTTTTTAAATGCATGTAAACTCACGGCAACTTTCGCTTGCTGCTCATTCTTCACCGGTGAATTTCTCTCGATAATGCTGACTGCACTCAATCGTCGATTTTAATTCGAAATTCCAAAACGCACATCATCAGGATAAAGAGATGCAATTGTGATGTAAGACAAAGACGCGAATGAAAATAATATGTTTATCTCGATATAACACAGAATTGCACTGATCACGCACTGACCAATTGATCGCATCTGCACTCGGCATCGTTCGGCCGTCGAGAGAGCGCGACCGACAGTCACATCCTACGTCTACTGTCAAGACGGGAGAGGGTAGTCCACCTCTCCCCGCCGTTGCTCTGATATGTTGCGAATCGCCGATGCGTTTCCCCGCGACGGGCAAAGGTATTGCCGAAGATATTACACATTTGTCCGAGGAGTGGCGGGGTAGACGAGGCGGACTGTAGGCGAACACGAAGAGCCTCGTACAAACTAGGTAGAAAAGTGAGAAAAATTCGCGTCCTCCCGCGAGAGGGAGGAACCCCTCTTGTTCAACCGAGTCCGCACGAAATCTGCTGCAGCTAAAAAGGGAGAATAACAAAATCGCCGCAGTCCGCCTCGCGTACGATGCTTCCCACTCGCGCTCGCCCTCTGCTTGTGCTCGCCAAATACGCGGCAGCGACAGTAGCAGTGCATCTGCTAGTAATAGTAAACCGGCGGGCGATGTCTGATACCCGCCACTCGAGACACCCCGTGTGCATGCAGAGACCTGCGTCCAGGCGTTCTGTACATTTTCGCATTCGCACGTAATACGCATACATCCGCTCGCTCAGTCACACGCGCATTCGTTCACACGCTCGTAACAGGCGTACAACAAACTCTCCCTTATGGTTAGCGTTTCGTGTCTCATCCGCGCGGACAATCTCCGCGCTGCTTTCCCGATCTCTTCCCGCTCGACAAGCCCCCATCGGGGCGTCGTTGAGGACGCCAGTAATCCGCGCGAGTTTTACACTCGAGAAGAGAGTAAAGCTACCGTACGTGTAATACGAACTAAGAAGGATGCAATCAGAAAGAAGATAACGCAACCGCACGGGTTCTGAGAAAGTAATTGTTCTATGTGCTGGGCGAGCCCTAGGCTGCTCGGCTCGGCTTAGAAGGGCAGGCTACCGACGAACATCGTTTCGATCAGGGGTGGCGCCGGCACCAGGTCCTCCAGCTTCAAGTAGAAGATTCGCTGGAGGCCTTGGACCGAGAGACTCCTCAGCTCCGGTATCTTCCCCAGTAGATAGGACAGGTACTGCGACTTCCTCTGCGCCTCGGCGTTATAGGTCACATGATCGCGCAGAGACGAGACTATCTTCATCTGCAACGCTTCCATGCGCTGCGGCTCCTTCAAGCCGTACCTCTCTGCAAGTTCAAAAACGCGGCTTCAGTGTCGAGTCGCGCTACTTTCTCCGAATAATTGTGAATCGCCACGATAAGTTTAAATTTCGAAATTGAATTATTATGAATTAAATGCCACTAATTCGCTATTTTTTGCAAGCAAACGATTGGAAAAAACGATTAAAGTTGCATTATCTTTCATTTAATTTGCTGAGACTATTTATAGGTGTAATGCAATTTCCGAGATTCAATTATTACATTAACAAAAATTCGAAATTAAGAAATATTGATAAATCAATTAAACTCCCAATAATATCAGTCACGCGACCTTCGATAGCTATCCAAATCTGGAAACTGCAATTGAACGCGCCTGTAAACCGCACACCTGCATGTCCGCTCCGCTAACGGATCGCGTGCAAAACGTGGGGTGCATCGTCGTTCCTTTCGTCGGAACATCAATAACTAATTGATTTGCCGGATTAATTATTTATCCCGTGGACAAGCCAGTTTCTGACATAACCCCGATGCCGGTAGGATGAACAGAGTGAAGAAAGATTGAAAATTACTAAGAAAATTGCGAAATGAAAGCTACAATGATCATTCTACAATTGCTATTTTTAATATTCATTACAATTGCAACGATTGCGCACTTAAGTGTGCGATTATTATGGAGAAAAGTGATTTATGTCAAATAGGTTATAATTAAGTACTGACCAGTGACGAGGGTGAGGGCGCATAGACAGGCGAACGCACTAATGTCGACCTCCAAGTAGTGAAGGGCTTTGCAGAAATCGAGTATGCTGTGCAGCCAGTCGCCGAAACTGCGCTGACACTGCTCCAGCGCGAGGACAACGCCGTTGCAGAACACCAGCTTCGTGTCGTCCGGTGTCGTGCGGTATGCTAGCCTGAGCACGAACAGTTCCAGGCTGGCCGATTGGAAGAGCAGTTCCTAGAATCAGATTACATCGCAAAATTATTAACACTCGAGTGAATTATTGATCAAACACAAACGACCGTACTAATCGAAGGCTACTTTGCAGATGAACCGTTTTATGATAAACACGCTGTGTAAAGAAATGCTGTACTAATATTTCACTTCGACGAAACAGGAATCAAACATAGCGAAATCTCCGCTGGTTAGGAGATATTAACAAATTAACGTTTACTGTCCTTCCGAGCAGTCTACCGATCAGCCAACTGGCTAGCCAGCCGCGTCGAAAGCTCGTCAAGACTGACCTTTTAGAAAATGTATGAGCTATCGATCTCTACAACCGCTGTTCCCAATGGATATCGGCCAAAAGTCGATATCTGACCGGCGATATAACAATTATAAGGGCAGTCTATATTTTGATAAGAAAAAAAAAGAAGGACTAATCGCTAATAAGCTTGTTTGAAAATTTCCAGAATTTCATTTAAAAATTGGGATTTGATTTTTGACGCTTTAAAATAAATAACGTCCTGGATTTCGTTTTATTCGCCTCGCAATCTGTTGATAAGCTCACCTGATCTTCCTTCACTAGATCCGTAAAACCGGGGATTTTGTCGGCGAAGTTTCGAATAACGTCGATCGAGGTCGTCAACAGATTGTAGAACTGTTGAATCTTCTCGGCCTCCGTCATAGGAGGATCGCCTGGTCTCGGTTGTCGATACTGCGAGTAATCCAGGCTCGCCTTATCAGGTGTCGTGTCCAAATGGGCGCGAACCAAAGCGGTGATCAGTGAGACCGGTGGGCTTGGTGGGGATTCTTGCGGTGACTTGGGCTTTGAAGGCAATCTGCCTCGCCGGCCTTTCAGAGAATCTGTCCTAACAACCTGTTAAGCAACGCACAACATCGTTTCAATAATCATTTCATGTCCCATTCAAAGTGATACATTTTTTTCACTCATTAAAATAGTTTTTAAAATAGATTTTTAACAGAATAATTTACAACTGCACGGCTTAGCGAAGATTTAATTCGATCAATAAATAATTTCATTATTTAACTTTGAATCTCACAGATAATTGAGCAAAATTATAGTAAATTAATCAGAGCTGATTATTGAAAATACATCATTGAAGATACATCTATAATTTTTGATTATTGAAAAGTTCAATACTTTATCCGAATCACTTTACCGAATATTTCTTGATTTATGTAAACTCTTTGAAATATTTTACAGTATAATAACTTCGAATACGGCGTTCATGTTGCTCACCTCCTTGACCATGCCGACCATGAGGCACTTCTGGAACCGGCAGAACTGACAGCGGTTTCGCCGGCGCTTGTCCACCGGGCAAGCCTTCTCGGCCAAGCATACGTACTTGGAGCCCTTCTGCACGGTCCTCTTGAAGAAGCCTTTGCAGCCCTCGCAGGTGCGCACACCGTAGTGCTGGCAGGCCGCGGTGTCGCCGCACACGGCGCAAAGCTGGCTCGGACTCGGCGGTGCGCGTTCGCCACTGGTGCCGCTTCCGGGCGACGGCGAACTGACAGTGGAACTCGCGGTGCCACCGCCACGCGGCTTCGGAGACTCCGTGCTCCCACTACTGTTAACACGACACAGGACGCGCATTGATCTATAACCCGTCGCTAGTCAGAACAGGAATTCTCCAAAAACTATCGGGTCTCATGTCCTCGGCATGTGATATAAAAAATGGAAATATAAAAGTGGAATTCATTCATTTTTCAAAATTTAAAACGATAAAAAATCTATTATGCATACGAACTTGAATCAGCAACAATAAATAATTTTTTGTTATAAAATTGAAAGCAATAAATTTGAACGCTGTATTGACAAAAAATTAATTCGACGATTAAAAGTGAAAAACAAACTAAACAAACAACAAATTTAACAAGGACGATCTTCCGTTTCTTTCATATTGAAATGTTATAAACCCAAACGAGGAGCAATGAGACTATAAAACTATTTTCACTCCGTGAAAGATCTTACCTTGCCGACTCTGATCTCTGGGTAGGCAACGACGCCCTTCGCGACCGAGTGGAGCCGATGACGATGCTGGTATCAACATTGGGACAGAGATCGGTAGGAACTACGGGAGCGGCGACGCTGGCGATGGCCGACGGTGCCCCGTAGACCATGTGTGGCACGGTGACCGCCACACCGTAGGATGGATCCTGTCGATGGTTCGGCGCGACCGCCGTTGCCGGAGTGGGCGCCGATTCCGTGGAGAAATAACCTTGATGATGATGCGGCGGGGCTTGCTGCTGCGGATGGTGCTGCGGGTGGTGGTGGGGGTGCTGCTGCTGTGGCTGCTGCTGCTGCTGGTGCTCGTGGTAGGACACTGAGAATTCGGTCGGATAGTGACTGGGGGTGCAGGAATATACCGGGCTGTCGTAACAATCATCGTCCATCTTGATGCCGAGGCCCTGGAGCTCCTGTCTGGTGTATCGCTGCACCGTGTAGGTCTCCTGGAAGCTCGGCAAGGGTGTAGGACTGCGAGGAAACAAATTATTACACTTCATAAGACTCGTGTATCTTGTAGATATTATATTATGCCAGTAATTTTCAGAGATATCGACTTAATTGTAATTTTATTGTGAATTGAGGATATTGTATCAATATTGTGGGAATTGTTTTTGGTTTATTGACTAATTTATTTTCTTTAAAACAAGTAGGTTAAGTTAAAAAATACGGATGATTATAGCTGTTTTCTCGTCAACGGTCGCGGACGTTTTCTCTCGAAAACGAGAGTTCGTCATCGCCGGTCAAAAACCGCTCAAAAACATCGCTGTCCTCGTTAAGAAATATACGCTGGTCGGATTAACATAAACCGTCGATTCGCCTTTAATACGACTCGGATCGACGTCGATGTGCGAAATATTATTCTTCCATAATATTAGAAATTTGGGTAATTTGCATACCTGAGGGAATCGGCTTGGATGTCCTCGGGAAGGGGTGGGGGTGGTGGTGGCGGTTGCGATGGCTGCTGATGGTGTACACTTTGAGACTGAGCAGACTCGTCGACCGAAGGCACGCCTTGCGGATTTCCAAGCTGCAGTTCTGGAAAGGGATCCAGCTCCTCCGGCAAACTTCCGGCATCCGTAGGATCCGTGTACGGAGCACTCAGCAGATCCGCGAAACTACCACATCCGAATGGGCTCTGTAATAAAACATTACCAGCGATTTATAGAGCAATGTCGTGCAATAAAACGTGATTGTAAGATAAAACGATATAAAAAAAAACCAATCAAATCAAAAATAAATATTCGGAGTGATAATTCATAATATTTAGCGTACAAAAAAAAAGAAAAAGTTAGACGGAAACAATAGAATTTCAATAGAAACATAAAAGTAAGAGTCATAGAAATTCAAACAATGCAGTGATTTATTTATTATACAAATTTTAGTGTTAAACGGGAAATCTCAGTAGGAAAAGCTAAAAGACGGCGAATAAAGAATACCTGCGTCGCACGAGTGACGTGAGCCAATTTGAACACCATATCGACATGAATCTTGCGAGTCTTTCGCTTTCTAATTACATATCGTATGAACGAGAATTGACTATTAACTTTAAACGCCGCCGTTTTCCGTCGGCGGAGACCTCACGGTCTCCGGAGAGCCGTGCGAGCGGCAAACCGAAGCACCAACTGCAAGGCGGAAACATTGTTCGACCACAATTGCGAGCCGCGGCGTTGAGACATCGACGTACAATCGAGGTGCGCAGTGAGGATGTTCGAAAGAGGATTGGACGGGCCAGGCTCGATCGCGTGCTATCTATAAGCTAGCGCTCGATAGAGGCTTAGAAACCTTTCTCTCTCTCTCTCTCTTTCCATGCACTTTCCCCCTCTCCTTCAATCATTGATAGTCGATAGTCGATGGGCAGTAAAACACTACATAAGCAGTTAAATATTCGCACGGTAATGGGATAATAATAAACAGCGATCGGTGTTGATACACTTTGCAAATAGACTCAGCGGGATATCATGCACGTTACAAGATCGTAATGAATTACTTAACTGGCCATGAAATATTCAAACGGCAGCCGCTCATTCAACTTTCGAAATTAACGATGGAGATTTATTACCCTGCAATGCTCGAAGGCAATCCTCGCGATCGCGCAATAATACTTTCCTTTCCGCTTGTGAAACACGTTCGTCAAATTTTGTAAAATTAAAGTCTTTAAACGATTATATCAATGACACATTCCTGACAAGCATGTAAATTAAATTCCGATAGTTCGACATAAAACTCATATTAGATGTCACATAAAAAGTATCATTCTTGCGATACCCGCAATTTCACTAATTCGATGCAACGTTATCTTCGCGTCGTTTAAAATAATAGTTATATTCTTCGATCTTGATTAAAAAAAAAAAAAAAATGCTGCAGGATATTCTACGGCGGGTGAGGCGAGTCGAAGGATAGCGCCGCGAGAAGAAAGACGGGGACGGCCGAGAAGGGTGGATATTCAATTTGCGAGTGCCGGTTCCGCTTCGAGCTGACATTTCGCTCATCGCTCCCTCGAGGACCAGCGATCGAAGCCTCGTCCTTACAGACCGTGAATAAATGGCCTGCTAAACGGCGTTCTAAAAGCGCCCCTTCCTCCACTATCCTCTCTATTTCTTTCCGCTAAGCCGTCGAGACAGCGTTCCCCGTTCATTTCGCGGCACGTTCTCGTTTTAGCGGTTAATTGGCCGCAACGCTGTTTCATCCGCCATGGAAGTACGACGAAAATCGAGGCGCGGAGACACGCCGGAGAAAGGAAGAGGGAAACTGGCAGAACGGCATTCAAGTGTATGGAATGCAGATAAGCGCGATAAGCGTGATAAGCGCAGATGACGATCGTAGAAATGTGGGAAGGTAGATCTTGTGGCCGGGCCAAGTGCAATCGCCGAGAACCCAAGAGAGCCGATAAGAATTGGATTAATCGCTGGATAGCGATGCGATAATTTCGAACTGGTCGCGCAAAGACGAGTTTATCGGTGTGAGAAAGAATGGATGGCAATATTTCAATGATAATGTGCCACTCGGTAGTAAGGAGCGCCGGCTTTTGATCGTTGTTGCGATGAAAAAAAAAGAAAGAATGATGAGAGAAAGGGAAATCCACCGTTACGATGTTGCAAAGAAGCAACAAAGATCGATCGCAAGAAAGCGAAGAGCAATAAATTATGAAACTTGATATTATTTTTTAAACAATTTCTTCTTCAGTCGTTCTTCAAAAAATACTTGATTCCATATAAATAACATTAGATTTGAATTAGAATTTAATATTGAAAATTACACGATCCTAAAAATTTGCCGAGAAAAAATATGCGTTACTAATAAAAATCTTTTTTTACACACACACACACACATCAACTGTAAATTACTTAAAAAAACGAAACGCTATTCCTAGATTCACCTCTATAATTTGAAATATTACACATCCACATTTCCCATAAGACCTTCTTGGAATTATTTATGAGAGACGAGATGAGATGAGATATGAGCGTTTATACGGACGAATATTATTACGCAAAATTACAACTTATGTTGCATCACGGCGACATGCAAGCGCGAATCGTTTAAGCCGACCCATTCAGCCGATGCAATTTTATATTCGCAAGATTCACAGTGCAGACCGCATTTCAGAATTAAATGTATCATCAAGTTTTATTTCGCTATCAATTATTTGTTAAGATAATCACTCCATCTTAATTTTACCTCCTTCGGTGAATATTTTCAGAATTGCGAATTAGTTTTGAATTTTCTTGCAGACAAGTGCATTATGATAAATTAGAATAAAAAATAGAACTCACCTGCGTCTGCAAAAGAAGCATGCTTGATGCCACCGTAAAGGCGGTCGTGGTCGTGGTGATAGACGATTGATTAGTACAGGCGAGAACCGGAACGGTAGCGGTCGCCTGACGTTGCTGCTGCTGCTGCTGCTGCTGCCGTTGGCGATGCGGTTGTTGCTGTTGCTCTACCTCGTTGCGAGTAACAGCGACCGCACGCTGGCTACCGTTGCTGTTGTCGCTGTCGCCGTTCGGCGAATGCAGTTGCCCTGCAACAACGGGAATGAATACCCTCAATTAATATACTTTAATATTATTATTGAAGACTGTTTCATCGAGTAAAAAAATCAATTGTCGTTATTATAAATACTAATTAACTAATCAATGCACTTTTGAAACCATTCAAGTGTGCAAAGTGAATTAGTGTGCAATTTAATGTACAACGCGTACGCGCCAATAACATTTTGAATTGATTTTAAATACTGATGAACAATATACGCGTTGCGTATCATCAAATGTTAGCGGGCGTGTTAACAAGAATAACATCATTCATTATGCGCGAAGAGGCAAAAGTGGACTGCAACCTTGTTTCACGGAGCAGAAAAAAAACTTTCTGACGTGTCATTTTCAAACGATATGCCAGGAGGTTGTGAGAATACTTTTCCCATCACAAGAACACAATTATTATTGATTTTCAGCATTCTATCGTTGCATACTGTACTTCCGGCCCTGTTAAGCATAACCCGAGCACTCTCCGACATTTAAATATCCGCTTTGGAATCAGATTCTATATTGTTGTAGTAAGAAAACACCGTTTGCAAAATGTGGAACAAAATATATTCCAAAAAATCTTTTCTTGATTATATCTTTCTTGCGCGTTTCATTATCTTCTAAATATAATTGCATATATCGACGACGAAGCTGCACATTCAACTGCTCAAAACCGAACGTCCAATGTTCAAAAAATACGTACAGTATCTGCGATACTGTCCGTCGTCCATGGCGATCATGTCTGCGGACCACCGTCGGTCGAAAAATTATACGAATACGAGGACCGCTGACTTCAAGTATACAAATTTTTCTCAATTTTAACAGGCGAGCGAAGGAAGGCTAATCGTTAACGAGAGAAATTTCCGAAGTCACTTTCACTGGGCTCTCGGCTTTGATTTCTCGAAGATCGAGAGATCCTCGGGATCTTATTAATCGGCGGATCACCGTCGTCGACTGAGCGCTTGGTCGCCGCCAGGACGTCCTATATAGGGTGGTCGCAAACACCCCGGGGAGACATGAAATCATTGGCATTTAAAATACTACCACCCCATTCTATACATACAACCGCCCGCGCCCTCCACCCCCATCCCGATTATTATTGTACAATATTATCCCCTGACGGCCGAGGGATAGACGCTCTCATGCCAACCACGACGCTTTTGAGACGGCCCATCGACATCAACTGAACACCACAATTTTCTCCGCATAAATTAATCGCCAGTAATTAGAAAATTTAAATAAAAAATTTTAAATTTAAAATTAATCTAATTAAATTTTAAATTTAATTAGAAAATTTTAAATTTTGCAGATTTTCTCAAGAAATTTTTTCGATATATTTCAATTTATATTACTGCGGAAAATATCGAAGCCTAATCGCGAGAAAAATAATTTGTCCAAATGTGAAATAACATAATTTTTATCATTCTGCTCAATTTTAGTTAAAAAATAAGTTCAACAAAGTCGTAAATATCAATATTCTTACGCTAGTTTTGCATTGAATAATGAACGAATACTAATATATTTGATCTGATCGAAAATGTAAGCATGTTTCGTGTTTAATTACAGTCTTTAATTGAATTATAGTTCTCTTATTTCTCTCGAGCCACTTATCTAATTGTTAGAAGCAGCAGGAAGAGAATCAGCACGTGAGAGCATCGATGATTTATCAAACTAACCGGGAAGGGATTGGAGTAATCTGATACGACAGCCGGATGCACAGCGTCCCGGCGTATCCCGGCCCATCAAGATCGACTCATCGATAGTCACGGGCGCCGCAGTCGCGTTCGATTTAATTTTACGATCGCGCCGCGCCGACGACCACCCACCGCGATCGCGAGGCGTCAATCGTAAACGATTTCACCGTGACGCTGATCGGCGGAGGGTGTGTTATGCGCGTAGAAAAAAAAACGATGATTAGACACAATGGACCGGCTGTTCTGGCGAATTGAACGCGCGCAAGAGGAGGGAACGCGCTCATTGTTATTCGCGAAGCCGTCGTAAAGCGAAACGGAGAAATCAGCGACGTCTTCCGCGCAACCGATAAACTAGCAATTACATTCCGGCTCGGGAATTTCCATTAACTTATCCGTCGTAAGAGCTTGCGTGAGATGAAAATATGTGAGAAACGCGTTATTGAAAACATAAATCTTCAGAATGATAAAAATTATACGCGTCTAAGCACGTAAAAATACAACGCCGTAAATTTTAATTGCGTTCCAGCTGTCAATAAAAGAGAATAAAGCAAAGTCGACCGGATTGAAAGGGATGTCAAAAATGTCCAATTACTAATTGCATCATAAACAACGGTGCAATTAGCGAGGCTCTGACCCGCTCTCGGTGGTCGCGTGCTCCGGAGAAATAAAAACACGCTTGTACGCTTTCGCAGTTATAAAGCACAATATCGTTATCGCCACGCAATAAATAAGTCGATACTAAAAGAACGTCAACTAGTAACGCAATATGTTACAGTTACGGTTAATTACGGCTGAACACCGTTGTGAACCTCGACCGTGGTTATTTTTATATGCAAAAGTGACACTTAACAGCTCGCCTAAGGAAATACTATAAAATTCACAATTTAAGATTACATAAAAGGGCAAAATATGCAGTTACACGCAATCTCGTCTGCGAAAATGAGAAGAAAATAAATAAATGCGCTGCAAAAAATATACCAAATATACATGCATGATTATAAATCATTGTGAAATATGAATATATAAATAATTACCAAATGGGCTAAAAAATTGTGTACCAATAATATCACTGACGTTACAATAATTCTGTGTGAAGACGCCAAATTAAAAAATAAATTGAATTATCAAGTGTATAACTTAATTTTACGAAATATATGCTGTACTTCTGCAAACTCTACGGTTTTCCATTTTATCTAAAGAATAAGACCAAAAAGATAAACTCGAAAATCATTTGTTTCAAATGTTAAGTAGTTAAAGATTATTATTGTATCATTATGAGGCAACACACACACACACACACACACTTTCTTATCGAACGACCTGCCGACTTTCTCGATCACGATCGGCGAATAGAGAGCGCGATTGCGCCCACAGAATGCGTAATGAATCGAATCCAGCACCTGAGATGTATGCGGAAGAACAGAGGGACGGCGGATCGGCCAGCGAGTGCGGCATCGCCGTAGGCAGAGTAAACGCGTGGCTGCAGAGAGGCAGGGTAGGGTGGCAAACGGTTGAGGAAGAGAGAGAGAGACAGAGAAAGAAAAGAGTAGGGCTTAGCCGAACAGAGTGTGCCAAGTGGATTGCAGCGGACTGGTGTTGCACGACCCTCCCACGAACCACGCCTCTCCACGTGCCACCACGTGTATACTCGCTCTCTTCGCTTCGCTCTGCCGGTTTCCTTCTGTGCATCGCCACGTCTCTTCGTCTCCGGCCGACTCTTTCTCTTCTTCATTCTCCCGTTTCTCGGCCGCCGACCTCTCCTTCGATTTTCTTGTCGCCGGTGGAAACGCGAAGATGCGTTTACGCGGAGGAAAGCGACTTCCGTGTTGTCTTGCGTATGATATATGATCCGGCGTAAATCGAATACAATTCGAATGTATTATCATGAAAATAATTTATCAATTTTGACATATCTATACACTAATCGCGAATAAAAAGAAAAAGCCGGTGAAAGTGGCGAAGTATGTGTACACAGAAATTTTATGGCCTGATCCATTTGTTATTCGATAATGACTTTTATCAATTTTGCACTATATGACGAGAAAATATTGTTTATGAATTGTCAATTGAAGAAGAAAGCAACGTTTACATTAGCTCGTATTTTTAAATGTATGCTAATTACAAAAAGAAAACCGCTGCGATATTGCAGGTGGAATAAGATGCAGTCACGCGACGGTTTCTTATTTTAAAGGCACGCCGATGACTTTAACGCGCGCATAAGAGACGACGTAGATACGCGTGTTTTTCGTCCCGACAACTCGATAAGAAACAAATTGGAATTCAAAAATTTGTTAATAACGAATTTAATGATGAATTTAAACCGTGCTGCGTCGAGTTAAGCATTAAACTTTCTCCAATTGGCCGCGAATGGAAAAAAGAATATGCGAACACACGTGTGTGTTTTACGTGTGCGTAGGTTCAGATGAATCTTAGGTGCAGAACACGAAATTATATCCGCATGTTGTAACATTGTAGAAAGGCAGAGAAGTGAAGAGGATAGGAAGACGAGAAAGATAGAGAAACCATATTGTTGAAGATTGCTAAATGAGGGGATCGGTCGTTACTACAAGGATCGCAGCTGTAATTCCGTTTTTCGCTCATGTAGCTATGAGGATAATTCTCATCCTTAGAATGATTCTAGTTGCCATAACTAGTAAATTACCGTGGAGCGGATTATATTTCTGAGAGCTGCGCCAGCGAGCGAGCGAGCGAACGAACGAGCGCGTCTTGAGCGCCGCGTGTTGCGCGGCGAAGAGAAAGGCCATATTGTTGCTGATTACCGAGTAACTCCCGCGAGATTCACCCATTATGCAAATCATTCGGACAATTCTACACGAGCTTACACGCTTCGGAGATTATAATCGGTTTTTCCGTCATTAACGATTAGTTAACGATAGTCCTCGCCGTGTCCGCCGCGCTATCGGCCGGGAGGAAAATGTCCGCGCGTGGAATGCGCGTCCTTCTCTCGATCGATAGAAGCGGTAATTGCCGTGATTCATAAATACTCGATTGCAGCGAAATCGCATTGACCCCCCCGCGGGATATCGAGAGTCAATGATTGTTCGATATCGTGCTTTTATTTTCACGCACTCCGCAACGTAGTATTACGCTAATCCGCGGTGCTCGTAGAGCGTTGGAAAAATATAAGATTATACCATCGTTCGCCGCCATTTACAAATCTCAGGCCCCGCTGGACGGTGGAAATTACGTCAACCGCGTCTGACATTGAGGCACTTGTCTATTACAATTTCGTAAGAAATGGAACTCGCGTCGGAATGTAAAGTAGCAGAAATACCTCTTATTTA